AATGAGAAAAAATTTTGCTCTGTTTCATATATTATCATATTTTGCACAAATTTGGTGCGACTGCCCAATTATGACCGAAAATCTGCTCGTTGCATGTAAAATCATGGGCCATTTTACCCCTTTTTTCGGTTTAAAATAGTCAGGAGGGGTGTGGATATGTATCTTGGCACCAACTTAGGGGTGCATTCTTAATCTTATTTGTTATTCTTACGAAAAAAAAAGTTTGGTCGAAATCTGAGTGTACCCCCTGAATAGGTTCCCTTGTCAGATGACCGGCCCTTGTTAAACAACAAATTTTTTTACCGTGGATAGGCTGAGAGCTGTGCAAAAGTTGTACGTAGTGACTCGGACTCTTGGCAGTCATTACAATACGGATAGTGCCTACAACAGGGATCTACGATATACATCTCATCAATAGGACACATAGTATGGCACTCCACACCTTCTTGCTGCATCTTCTGTAAAAATAACAAAAAGATAAGTTTTACTGCTATATAGGAATGTCAGTGAGGGTGAGAGCTATCAGAAAATTTGCAGAGAAGAACTAGAACTGTGTAGGTGTGGAATAAATAAAATCTTTCACCTACCAGGTTCTATTTCGACATCCTCTTCATCAGGAACTTTAAGCACACCAGCGCACCACAGTTATTGCATGAAGGTTCCTTCAAATTCAACTTTGATTGGCACATAAGCAGGTGCTGGTGCCACCTGTTGTTGACCGACAGTTGTTAGTTTCAACTTGAGAGCTGTTGTGCTAACAGAAGCAGCAAAAAATGCGGGCTGATGTTCATGAATGATAAGTGGTTTGTTTTGTTAAGGTCGAGAGATGGGCATTGCCACAGGTGCAGCCTGCACTTTCAAAAATTCCGTAGTACGGAAAATGTACTGACGAAAAAGGTACGGGAGCACGGAAAAAAGTACGGAACGTCCGTACTTGTCCCAAAAGAACTCGTGTAATCGAGTACGGAAAAATAGTAGGGAAGTTCCGTAAGGACAGTTACGGATGGTCCAGGCAATTTGTGACCGGAAATGGTCCGTCCTTATGTACACTGTTAAAAAAAGTCTGAAAATTCAGACCAATTTTTTTAGACCTAGTGGTCTGAATCTGGAATTCAGACTTGAGTCTGAATTTTCAGACAGCTGGTCTTAATTTTACACCTTGTGGTCTGAAAAATGAGTTTCGGACTCAAGAGTCTGAATATTTAGATGGCGTGGTAGAAATTTTCGGCGTCGGGGTCTTAAAACGGTCATTTGTAGTAGAAGGTCTGAATTTTCATCCTGCGCAGTCTGAAATTCTCGCTTTATTTTCTGATAAAAGGCATGACTGCGTTTCAAGTGCGATGGGCCCTTAATTGCCAGAGCAGTACTTAACTAACTTTTGTTCAGCTAAGCGAACGGCCATCTAGTGTTGAGCAGTGTTGAGTTTAAAATCGGCTTGCACTCCGCTGGAAGATGCAGGATGCGACACGTTTGCCCTGGTTCCGGCCTGGACCGAAGCCCGGGTCACCCGAGCCGAGCCGCTCCGGCGGCGGCCAGCCGAGCCAGGTACACCGAGCCGAGCCGGGGCTTTCGGAAAATCACCGCTGACCGACGTGCCGGCCGAAGCCTACCTGCGCGGGGCGGGGCGGGGGGAGAGGAGGGGCCCTTAATCCCTCGGCCACTCGGGATTTCTGGACACTATGCGTCAGTTTTAGCTTGTCTCCAGAGCAGTGCACATCGCATCCGAATACAAGTTCGCGTCGCGTGGCATCTTTCTTGTGGCGCTCCGTCGTGAAGCAACGTTTTGTGTGTCACTTCAGCGCTCAGCACAGTGTGTAGTGCCGTTTTGCCTTCGCCTTTCCGTGCTCAAAAATTGCTTCTGGGTGCCGTGCAGTCACCACTCTGAAGCATCCGAAGTCCGCGGCAAGCAGGCTGTGAAAGTGGCGTATCCCTATGCTGATAATTGCATCTTCCAATCTAAAGGGACGGGTGAAGAGCGAGTGGGTGGCGTTTTGAAAATTTGGCACTCCTCTTTCATCCTGGTCCCAAAAGTATTTACATCGTGCCGAAAAAGCTTCCACAAAGTGGGCATCTCGTTCCAACATGCTGCTTTCCAGTGTTCACAGCTGCATCTCCGGGAGTCTAACATTCGAGGACAAGGTTTTTTTTTCGGGAAGCTCTCGCAGCACACTATCATATTTAGTTAAAGTTTTGCGCAACTTTGGGTGCTACAATTAACAAGAACTGTTTTACAAACTGTTCAATTTTGTGCATGCATTCCATGTTTCTCAGCAATTTAAAACATGCATCTCCAAAACATAATATCCATCCTGACAAAAGTGGTAATTTTCTTACCTGGGTGGCTAAGAATTCAAACCCGCGAGGTGGAAAATTCAGACTGCCAATTGGTCCGAAAATTCAGACTACCTGGTATAGTCTTAAAATTTAAACTACATGCTAGTCTGAAAATTCAGATGACAGGTGGTCTAAAAATTGAGAGTGTCCGGGGGTCTGAAAATTCAGACCACGGGGTTTCAAAATTGACTTCATCCTAAAAAGTCTGAAAATTTCGACTTTTTTTTTAACAGTGTACTTTTTTCTCACAGTGTGCGGTGCTTAGAGTTGCAGTTGAGGGGTGGGCATTGCCAGTGGTGCAGCCTGCGGTGCCGAGAGTTGAGGTTGAGGGGTGGGCATTGCCACGGCAGCAGCACGCGATGCTGTGAATGCTACCATTTTCTCCATCGCAACTGCGATTCGCAGAAGCACGGATTTACTTACTGCAAAAAGCGTCAAAAAGGGGAAAAATTGTGAGGGAAAACAGCAGAAATTAGAGGTTACACTAACCAAATGTCATTGATTAATAGTTTTTTTTTTTCAGATATTTTGGCATTTTGCCTCAATTGTTTTGGTAAAATTAGTACCGAAACTTTACATTCTTTGGAACAAAAATATTGGAACCTAAGTACTCTAGAAATATAAATGAATATATATATATATATATATATATATATATATATATATATATATATATATATATAAAATATATATATATATATATATAACGTTGGGTTGCCTAACTAAACGGGCTCGATGGTACCGAAAATAAATGTTACAACGGAAACACGTATATATTATATATATATATATATATATATATTATATATATATATATATATATATAGTTAGGCAACCCAACGTTCCCCGCCCCGCCTCCGTCCACTCCACAAAAAATGTCCTGTCAACGCCGTTAATTTATTACCAATGTTTGCTGTTATGCAATTCACGGCGTTTGCTGTGAACTAGTTCACGGCGTTCATTGCGATCTCGGTTACAGTGTTCACTGTGATCTGGCCACAGTAAACGCCGTGAATTGGAGCCTGATTTGCAGTACTTCGGTGCTCAGCGGCGTCAAACTCTTAGTGTTTTCTGTAGACCAGATCACAGTGAACACCGTGAACGAGATCATAGTGAATCGCGTGAGCAGATCACAGCAAACGCTGTGAATTGACCTTCAGTGAAAACTGGTAATAAATTAACGGCATTGACAGGTCATTTTTGGTAGAGTGTCGCTTGACGTTACCTTTTCCGCCACCGGACCGGGGCGGCGCTGCACCAAGTACTCCCCCTCCCCTCTCTCTCCGGCCCCCTCTCGAACAGCTGATCTAGCCTCGGGGCCTGGATCGTCAGAGCTGAACGTTTTAGCAACCCGAGAGGTCGCTCTCCTACTTTTCCATCATGTGTGTCCTCGGTAAGCCTTGTCCCTTTTAACCTATTTCAGTCCACGTGTTAATTCAAATTGATAACAACTGTCTTTCTCTTCTAGGGTTTTATGGTTTTTATTTAGTTATGGTACGTCTCTGACTTCCTTCGATATTACTGCCATTTTATCTAAAATGAATTATCAAGTTTTCTTCAACCACTCTCCACATGTGATTTGAGTTATGGACTCACCCTTTAAGACTACTGTGATTGTATAGTTAAGGATTATGGTTATTGTCATTCTAGTTTTGAATCGATGCTCTGGCATGCACTTGCCTTTGTATAATAAACTTGTTTAGTTCTTCCGATGTGTCTTTAGGGGGAGTTAGCTCCCTGGCGCCCTTAAATAGAAATCTTAAGTTCACCCTCACCCACTCAACCCGGTTGTGCTGAGGTAGCCACAAGTTTATATTATCTAGTCACCCAAACGGAGTATTAGCTCAAGCTAATATTTTTACCCGTTACAGACGTTCTGTTCTCTATTCGTCTGTGCATTTTCCGTACAAAAGGACGAACTTTTCACAGGGAGTGCACGCCCTTGCCTGTCATAATTAACGGGCGGTGATATGTCTGGGCCCCACTCACCCTCTAATCGCTCCATCGACATGTTCTTCGAGAAGGCGATGTCCATTTCGGAAATTGGTCACTCTATTGACGATTGTCGATAATGCTTCCCCGCCTTTCAGTTGGCGCAACTGCAATGCTTTCTCACAGAGTGGGACAAGTCCCCAGCTGCGGTCTGCTCCGATGACCCTTTACACTCGTCCCTCGTTACCTCTATTCTTCATTTGACATTGGTAGTTTCCTGCGCGGTTCACCTCTTCAAGTGAAGGACAGGTACATGCACTCTCATTCCAGGAGCGTGACATCACGTTGAAACGAACGTGACAAAATGTCACGTTCGTTTGAGCATTGTGTCACATTCGTTTGAGCCGAGGGGTACCTCACTTCGAAAACAGGTGTACACTGACTGGTGACTATACTCAATTTCCACTTTGACTAGACTGAAAATATCACGAAATGCGTTGCAAAAATACTAAAATTGGGACAAATTTACGTGGTTTTGCCGACTTTTTCAGTGACTAGACTGAAACAAGGCAGTGACTGGAGTCAGGGGTGTACACTGACTAGACGAAGTGAGGTACCCCTCGGTTTGAGCATTGTGAACAAGCTAAGTTTTGGCCGATTCACATCAAAACGAATGTGACACAATGCCCAAACGAACGTCACGTTCGTTTCAACGTGATGTCACGTTCCTGGAATGACAGTGTACGCACTTGCTGGCGTAGACCAAGATATCCAATCGCAACTGTCGACCATTCATGTCCCAATTGTCGACTTTTTCCAACGTAGGAATTCCGTCGAAATTGCGATACGTCAATTTGTCCGAGGCCTGCAAGTGTCGACCGCACGGTGTCTTTCTTTAGGAAGCATAACAAATCGATGGTTATCGAACGTAAAACAAGCTGTGGCCTACGCTTCGCGGCAGGACACTGTGTGGTCGATACTTGCGAGTGTCGGGCTGTATAGCCTGCGCCTGCAAGTGTGTACTTGTCCTAACTTCGATTAGCACTGTAGCCAAAGGCTGCTTTAGAAATTAAACTGAAGAAAGAAAAACCAGCAGTCCTGAGTCCGCCACACTGGGCTCGGCTCGGTGCTCCGCCCTGCTCGGTGTCGAACGGACTCAAGGAATTTGCGCCCCTGGAGTGGCGTAAATCGTTAATGCCTTTTGGAAGGGCATCAAAATTAAGCTTTAAATTCTTATACCATTTACGCCCTTCCCAAGGGATTAAAACGATTTATGCCCTTTGAAGGGCGTAAAAGAGTATTTATGCCCTAAAGGGCGTAAGTTTTCAGCCGTTGTTTTACCAGTAGACCTGCACACTCTCATTCCATGAACGTGACATCACGTTGAAACGCACGTGACATTTCGCAAGCTTGACTGTTGCCACGTCTCTTACTGGTGAAGCGCGGCGCGGATATTGTCCTTCGCCTTCAGTGCCTGGCCTTCACGGCAGAAAAACGGTAGCGGGTCCTCCCAGGCAGCTAAGAAATATGCGATTTCCAGGGGGTTCCTGGGAAAACCAGTAACCGTTTTTGCCGTGAAAGTAGCGTGGGGTGTATTTTCGTCTGTTTCCAGTGTAAAGCTCAAGGACAGTAGGAAATGGCCGCAACAGCCCCGGAGTCGGCAGGGCCACTGTCCGCCCACCTGCTGTGGTGGGCGTACGACGTGACGCCCAACGAGCACCGCACTCGCTTCCACAGGCAGGTGGCCTGGCTGCGTTCCTCCACGGTACTTGAGGGGCTGGTAGTGGCACGTTTTGCGAAGAAAGTCTTCTCTGCTGAGCTGAAGTGTGTACTCGGCATGCAACAGATCATGAGAGAAGGGCGCCCGGGGGACGATGCCTGGAGTGGGGAGAAGTCTGACCTGCTAACTTGAAGCGTTCACTCGCAGACGATATTTTATCACGTATTTGCAAAGCACCCGCTACGCTGCAAATTTGACACTTCGTAGTCCGCCGCAGCGATATGCGAAAAGCATAGCAAAAAGTGCCAATGTGAAAGAAATTTATCAGCAAGTGGAACGACCGCCTTTCACTGGCTGTCGGAGTGCCACCTCGGCTATCGGAGTATGAGCAACATATCCTTAAATAGAAATGCTGTCATTTTGGCATACAGGACATGAGCCCCGTCCCGTTTGAGCCCCGATGGTCTGACAATGTGAGCCCCGACCTGAGCCCCAACCTGAGCCCGGGTTGAGCCCCGACTTGAGCCCCGACCCAAGCCCCAATTTCCAGAGCCCGGATTGAGCCCCGACCTGAGCCCCGATTGAGCCCCATTTGAGCCCCATTTGAGCCCCGCGACGTGAAATCACGCATTTTTGCATGATTTATTGGCAAGGGGCTCAAATGGGGCTCAAATGGGGCTCAATCGGGGCTCAGGTCGGGGCTCAATCCGGGCTCTGGAAATTGGGGCTTGGGTCGGGGCTCAAGTCGGGGCTCAACCCGGGCTCAGGTTGGGGCTCAGGTCGGGGCTCAGACCATCGGGGCTCAAACGGGACGGGGCTCATGTCCTGTATGCCGTCATTTTCTTTCATACAAGTACACTGCTGCGTACCTTAAGCATCCTGAAAAAAAAAAACGGTGATTGCGGGTCTGTAAAAATGTCCCAGCGCGCGGGTAAGTAATTCCGCGACTGTCGGAAAACCAGATAAGATACGCGCGAAGTGGATCAGGCGAGTGCTTATAGCCATTTGATTTTGAAGGAAGAAGAGATAAACCACACTCCAGCGCAAAATAATATGTCCTATCGAAAAGGTTTTTAATTCTATGTTGAAACAATAATCATTTGACAAAAGCCATCAATACTTGCTTGTTGGTGCTAGGCTTACTAGAGAGGGCGAGGCAATTAAGAGCGGACACTCTTCGCTTCACTGCGGCAAGTTACAGAGAAATCTGTTAACAACTTCTCATATTTCACCGTACACACGCAATCTCCTACTGAAATGCCGTGCAGTCAAAATACTGAGCTGGTTCTTAGTACTTGGCGACACAAATCTGTCATAATGCAGATAACTTTGTTCGTAATATGAAGAAAGTGGTCATAAGTTACTGAGTGCTCATCGTCACCATGGTGAAGGCGCACCTTCGCTGCGCTGTCAATACTAAGCTTTTAGTTCATATTACGAAGAAAAAGGTCAGTAGGATATTGGGAGTGTACCCAGGACACAAGAAAGGCTACAAGAAATCTTGTCAATCTTCTCTGTAAGGGCTTAGAGTCATCTCCGTGCTGGTCTGCACTGGGAATGCGGAGAATACCGTAAAAGGCTACACTACGGAAAATACTGGGTTTTAGATACGAAAAATAACAGAAAAAAAATTAAATGACTTTTCCGTAGTTTTGGCCACAGTGAATTGTTACACCGCAAGTCGCATGGGCTGCACTGTGATCAGACAGAGACGCAAATGTCATTCCATAATGTGGCGCGACATTTTTGTCGGACCAAACTTTGGCCATACTTCCAGCTCTGACCGGGATTCCATCAGTCTCGCCGAGTAGTCGGAAGTCTGACAAGTCCTCCATTTTGGGATGCCCGAAGATAAGGAAACACGCAGCAGTCTAAGGGAGTCAAAATGACATCGAAATGATGCTTTTTTTTTCTTTTGACATCTTGATTTTAACTTGTCATTTTGATATCAAAATGACGTCTCGTCGCTGTGAGCGTTTCGTTTGGGTGCAGATCACCATGGTGCTCGTGATGGCCGTCTTCATCTTCATCTTGTGGGAGCTAGCCTCGGAGCCAGTGATTTACGGAAAGTTTGCGCGGTACACCGCGGGGAGCGTCTCGTGCATCCAGGCCAAGCTCATCTACCGGTACCGCTGGCGGCAACTCAGAGACTTCTACTTACATGCCGCTCGTATAGCCACGACTCTCGAGCGCAGCTGTGACCCCGAGGCCCGCGTGAGTTTCGGTATCAATTCTGAATTAAATTTCGTTAATTATTAAATTGCATCTAGCAGTAGTGAGTATATACCAAATAGAAGCCTACTTTTGCTTGTTTCTTTAAAGCATAGTGGTTCCAGTGGTAGGTTTGCTTGCCTTGCCACTTGACTGGCAAGCCTTTTCCAATGCCGAAAATTGGCTAGCTTTTGACCGGGAATCTTCATTAGATTGCCCATATTTGGAGCTTCGGCCGTCAGTAACGCCAAATTTTGGCAAACCGGGGAGTATTTAGGGCCGTGCTTGCTACGAGTTGGCATTTAAAACGGCTTGCCCATTTTGTGGCACCAAACTTTGCCATCGGCTTTGCAGTGCAGTCACTGTTTCGCGAATTTTCGCCACTACCATGCCTGTTGGTCTGTCATGTTTAGACGAGTTTTTGTTCTTCTAGGAAGTTAAGAGATTTTTTTCCCCTAAGTCGATAAATCTTGAATTCACCACACTGCAAACCTTACTGTCTACTAAGTACACACTTACAAATGCGTGCTTGCAAGTACGCACTTACAAACGCATGCTTGGGCAAGTACACACTTACAAATGCATGCTTGCAAGTACACACTTACAAACGCATGCTTGACGCCGTATAACTCCATGCGTCAAGCATGCGTTTGTAAGTGTGTACTTGCAAGCATGCATTTGTAAGTGTGTACTTGCCCAAGCATGCGTTTGTAAGTGCGTACTTGCAAGCACGCATTTGTAAGTGTGTACTTAGTAGACAGTTAGGTTTGTAGTGCATCCGTATGTTTTATGAACATTTTTTTAGATTTGTTGCCGGCTTGATGTGGAAAGTTTTACCTTGTAGTTGTATGGTTTTCGAGCGTTACAGGTTTTTTTCTTATCCTGTAGGTACGTCTCGACAGAACAGCCCGGTACTGCACCAGAGTCGTGAAATTGTTCCAGTTTTTCTGTGTGGTCACTGTTGTACCCTCATGTATAGACGATTACAATGGATTGAGGTGGGACACACTCCTTGCTCTCTTGTTGGTGCGAGTGTTCAACATCTCTGAGGTATCAGATTTGAATTCGTCGAAACGGCCCACACTGATCGCTTCTAGAAGCTGAGACCATAACGTTTTCAAAATGAAGCAGACTTGGAGACCAGAGCCATTCAAACAGCACATTTTAGCTGAATATTTTCAAGGTCAACAGTGAAGTGTACAGAGCCGGCATGCAAATCTCCAGCTCAGCCCGTGTCAAATAGTTGGCGAAGGAAAGAAACATTTTTGTCGTATCCCCAAAACCGGGGTACCACTGAACTACCTCATTCCGTGTTTCGTGCTTCACTCTAAATGTCTTACGAAGAAATTTCCCATCATACGAAGGGAATGGCGCAAGCATAATACGAAGGTGCTTTTTCTTCGTATTACAAAGGTTTTTCTTTGTATCACGTATCTTTGTATCACGAATTGCTTCGTATTATGCTTGCGCCGAATCCACTGCACTGAGAATCCCAACGCCATGAGTATAGCGTCAATTGGTGCAATGCAAAAGCATTGCACATGAAGTGCAATGCCTCCCCATTCCCATGCATTATCATAGGGCCTTTTCGGAATGCATTGAACGTAAAGTGCGATATGGCTATCGCATTGCACGTGTGGTGCGATATCTCAGCTGCATTGCACCATACGTGCTATACTCATAGCGTTTGGAATCTCAGTATGTAACATACGAATAACGTAGGTCAAATTTCATTGTAAGACATTTAGAGTGTTCTTCTTGTTCTTTAATTTTGTCGACTGGTAAGTTGCTATGCAATGATAACAAATCGAACAAGTGTTTATTTTCAAAGGTTTTCTCAACCTTCGTGTTATGTTTTATTGATTATCGTTTTCTTAAAAGAAATCGTGTACTTTTCGAGTTCTGGTATGATTTCAGAATAGAATCAAACACAACAGAACGTCGAAACTGCCCTCAAAATTGCGACTTGGCCTCTAAAGTGCGTGGTATCAGTGACGTTTAATATTGGTTTTTACCCAATCATTGCCTGCTTTGTCGTCATGCCAACTGTGCTAGCCACATTCTACCGGGAAGTCATTCATGCAGTTAAGGTTAGTAAAGACAAAAGAAAGCCCCTCTTTTCCACAAGGGAACTGAGGCATGGGACTCTACATAGTAAATAAATCAAAGGGTGGCCCAGTGTAAAATTTTGTGAACAATGATTGTCTTAATGTGTAAGAATGTGCAAGATTTCTGGCATTTTCGGCACACATGTCGCCTTCTTACAGGCGCCTTAGCCAAATTTTATACAACAAATGTGGCAAGCTGTTCCCCCTCGAAATAAATAAGTACGATTCGATACGTGGCCTCACACAATAGCGCGGGAATTTTCGTGAAAATTTATATGCCAATTGGCACAAATTCGTGCGAAATTTCGTATTCTTTAAAAATTTGCACGCATGCGCCACATTGTGTGAGACCACAGTGAGATTCCAAACGCTATGAATCATTTGTGGGTCACGAATCATTTGTGGGCCATTTTTTTGACGGGAAGCTACAATTCCATTAATGAGCGAATCGATTTCTCTTTCGGTGTGTCTTCGTTCAACCTTCCTTTGTCACCTGTAAAGACGCGGATGTCTGAGCAACGAACACAACGCCATCTACAGGGTGAGTTTTCTCAATGTGTCAATAATTTGTAGGGAGCTAGGGCACCCCTAGGGGATCATTTTTCGCCAGTGAACTAGTGGGCGCAAACGTCTCGGTACGGAGATAATTGGCGTTTTGTATTTGGCTTTCCCGCCGCCGAGCTAGGCAGCCCCTAGCGCCTGCCCGCGCCGCGGGCTGCCTACCTCACCATTACCATTGCCATTAAGGGCTGGACCACACATGATCGTATGCCATTTCGGGCCCGACACATGCTCGCCTGCACTGCAAAACGAGACATGGCCGTCCTTACTAAGGTGACACTTTATCCCGGCGGAGAAGAACCACCAACGGCTACGACTCCCACTCGCAGTATGGCCAGTCAGGGTGAAGGAGTACATCCCCCCCCCCCGAGGGGGTTATGCAGGCCTCCACCCCGGAACAGCCCCTGCGAGCACTACCGGTTCCGGTGCCCCCCTGCTTCGTCCCCTTATCTCGGGGATCAACGGCGTCCTCTTGGTCCAAATCTTGATGCATTGAGAAAGGTGTGCTTCGCCCTGCCCCTCTCTTCATGCGACCTGTGTCCTGGCGAGAGCATCCTGCGACCTTGTCGACAGAGTAGACAACTTCAGCACACCGAACACCCGACCGACTACACACCAAATCGCCGTGCTGTGCATGTTGGTCTCGGATCTGCGATCTGGCGGCAAAAGAGACATCCCACTGCTGGCTACCTGTAGACAGGACCGCCTGTGCGCGGCCCCGTCGCCGCATCACCACCGGCGCGCCGTCGCCAGAGCGCGCCGAAGCCGGAGCGCTCGGCCGCGCGCCGCCGCTAGAGCGCGCTGGTGCCAGGGCGTGCGTCCGCGCCACCCGCCGCGCCGTACGCCAGGTGCATGTGCATGCTGCCAGCTCCTCGTTCACAAACCCATCCATGTTGTCATTACGTTTTGTGCTGAACCAACTCGTGCTGCCTGGTTCGGTCAACGCCACAAGGGTGTTTTCTGCTGTCAGCGAAGACAAGCGTCAGCACCAGTCAACACAGCGCGCTCTAGCGGCGAGGCGTGGAAGCGCGCCCTGGCACCAGCGCGGTCTAGCGGCGGCGCGCGGCCGAGCGCTTCGGCTTCGGCGCGCTCTGGCTGCGGCGCGCCGGTGAGGTAGGCAGCCCGCGGCGCGGGCAGGCGCTAGGGGCTGCCTAGCTCGGCGGCGGGAAAGCCAATTACGAAACGCCAATTATCTCCGTACCGAGACGTTTGCGCCCACTAGTTCATTGGCGAAAAATGATCCCCTGGGGGTGCCCTAGCTCCCTACAAATTATTGACACATTGAGAAAACTCACCCTGTATAGGGCAGCAAAAGCAAAGAAGGGCCTTAAAATTTGATAGAAAATTGGGCCTATTCGAGAGCATTAAGGGGGCCCATTGTTAAAAGCACTTTTTTTAAAAAAAAATACGATTTCAAGAAATCCTAGGAGTCACGAAGTTAATTTGATTATTGTGTAAGAGTGTGGAGAAAGAAAAGAAGTGGTGTTGTGAAGTTGTGGCTCGGGGACTGGGACTACCAATAGCAGTGGTACCAATGTGGTCGATGTGCCACCCGTCGAAATTTAAACTTGACAATAAATAGAAATCAAAATGCTGGTAAATTCAAAAAATTCCAATGCTTATGTATTCCGCAGTGTTCCGACAATGGAACATCTTTAAAGTCCATCATTATTAAAATGTTCTTAGCAGAAAGAAGTCAGTAAATTAATTTTCACGGGTTGGCAACTAGTTTCTCGGCGTCTGCGCCCTTGCGAAAATCGCGAAGCTGAAAGCACCAGCAGTCGCGCATTAAAACTGCCCCTCCATTGTTGCTGACGTTGAATTGTTTGGCTTGTTTCAAAAGGCTATGGTTCTCTAGTCATGTTTTCTTCAATTCTGTGTAATAGTTCTCCCTAACAACGTATCAACACCACGACGGTTGGTTTGACAAACTTCATAAACTCAGGAGGGATGGTTTCGAAACGCGGGTGAGTCTTGTTCGAGGAACATGAGCACTGCAAGTCGCGAGGTGGAGCGAAGTGGTCCTAGTGCTAACTGAATCACAACAACAACAAAATTGTTTTATTGACAGAAAAAAAAGTAATATTTGAGAAACTTTATGTCAGAAAAAAAGAACTTTTGTTTTGCTATTTTTCTGTTAATATTTTTTTAGAAAGTCATCACATAAAAATTGAAAATTTGTTTTATATGAATTTTCATAAGCAGGAAACAAAGAAAATCAAGTAAGAGAGCAAAATTAATACAGATTTCAAATGCTACAGTTGGTTAAACTGTTAAACAGGTTGCAAACCTACTGCGCATGTCCAAAAACACTCCGATCAAGAAGTATTATTGGATAGTTCTACCCGAAAAACTGCGTTCGAACCGACACCAATTCTATTGTTGCATCTTGTCTTCCTGCAGTCAAAGAAAATTTTCATTTCGAACGTGCTATTTTCAGCTTTTGGAGTAAGCTGTACAGACCCAAAAAGAAGCTCGGCTATTGGTCCGCCCCGGCTCGGACTCCCCCCACTCCCTTTTTTTCCCTTTGACGAGTCGAGTTTTGCCATGGAAACGGCGATTTTGACAGCAAATTTCTCAAAATTGGCCGTTAACTTTTTAACCAGATTTCAGCATGAGAATCAGCGTTCAAAGTTCTACAAGTCTGCAAAGTCTCATTAAAATCGTATAGAAAATTTCCGAAATGCATAAAGGGCCACACAAATTGAATCTCGGGCCGGCTGAATCCTGGGTATACTATAAGGCTACTTCGTGCCTAAAAATTGATGTAGACGGATTAAGATTTTACAATTTCTATGTTAAGGGGGGACATCACTCCAAAATGATAAAAAATCGCAACTTTTTTTTATAAGTTCATACTAAAGACGTCGAATGGCGAAAACCGCATTCCGAAATTCAAAAAATTGCAGTTTTGGGAGGCTGTGGGCCGCAAACATGCATAGGGGAAAAGCCCAGTTTCCCCAACTTTGATCGCGTTTTTCTCGGAACATGAAATTGCAAACGGTTGCAGGCCTCTAGGGCGCAGTTTTTGAGCTACAGCGGGGAGATTTAGCATGGAAGCTCCTACGACATGCCGCTATGGTGGGAAGCAAAATAATTTGCATTGGTCAATTTTTATTATTTTTTTAACGTTCAAAATTGAACAATTTTGACCCAAAAAATTGAACAATATTTTTTGACATGAAACAAATACAACTTAAAATGATTTTTTAAATGTGATTGAGGTACCCACCATAGCCAGACATCTCAGGAAGGGTCAGTACTAGAGCTCCCCCCTCCTAGAGCTCCCCCCCTATTTTCCGCCTTTTCTTGAATTTATTTTATTTAAATGTGATAAAATGAATTAAATATGAAAAAGAAATAAAATATAATTAAATGAATTAAATATGATTAAATAAATTAAATGTGATTAAATGAATTAAATCTGATAAATTTGATTGCACTGCTGGTGCCGAGTGCAAGTTAGATGGATTGGAGTCTACACTAGCCGCGTGAGACCAGCATCGTTCTACCACGCAGCAAGATGCTACGAGAGCTCCAGCGCGGCGGCGGCGGCACTGACAGGGCTGAATTTAAGTGATCTTACCTATCCTAACCAAACCTAACGGGCTGGCGACGGATCTCACTCTCTCGCAAGCTAGAGAAAGATCTGTCGCGAGTGAGAGTGAGATCCGTCGCGAGCCCGTTAGGTTTGGTTAGGATAGGTAAGATCACTTAAATTCAGCCCTGTCAGTGCCGCCGCCGCCGGAGCTGGAGCTCTCGTAGCATCTTCCTGCGTGGTAGAACGATGCTGGTCTCACGCGGCTAGTGTGGACTCCAATCCATCCTACTTGCACTCGGCACCAGCAGTGCAATCACATTTATCAGATTTAATTCATTTAATCACATTTAATTCATTTTATCATATTTAAATTTATTTAATCATATTTAATTTCTTTTATCATATTTAATTCATTTTATCACATTTAAATAAAATTAATTCAAGAAAAGGCGGAAAATAGGGGGGAGCTCTAGGAGGGGGGAGCTCTAGTACTTCCTGCTCAGGAAGGCTGTCACCAAATTACGTTGTTCTAGGACAAACCGTTTGGCGTCTAGCGCTGCAACCGCGCGAAATGGTCTAACCCAACACTCAAAAATGCGTTTTCAACGAAAGCGCTGTACTGCCCTGGCGGATTGACTTAGTGTTGTTTTATACTTTATCTGTTAAAATATGAACAATTTTTCTCTTTCCGTTTGGTTTTTATGACGATTTTACAAAAGCACTGTTTTTGGAGTGATGTCCCCCCTTAAAATCCTTTTAGATAATTTAGTGAGCTTCATTTTGGCTTAAGGGGGGACATCACTCCAAAATGGTCAAAAATTGCAACTTTTTTTTATTAGTATATATTATAGACCATTCTTTTCTGCGTCAAATGGTGGAAACCGCATTCCAAAATTCAAAAAATTGCAGTTTTAGGAGGTTGTGGGCCGCAAACATGCATAAGGGAAAAGCCCAGTTTTCCCAACTTTGATCGCGTTTTTCTCGGAACATGATATTGCAAACGGTTGCAGGCCTCTAGGGCGCAGTTTTTGAGCTACAGCGGGGAGATTTAGCATGGAAGCTCGTACGACATGCCGCTATGGTGGGTAGCAAAATAATTTGCATTGGTCAATTTTTATTATTTTTTTTTCGTTCAAAATTAAACAATTTTGACCAAAAAAATTGAACAATTTTTTTTGGTATGTAACAAATACAACTTAAAATGATCTTTTAAATGTGATTGAGGTACCCACGATAGCCAGACATCTCAGGAAGGCTGTCACCAAATTTCGTTGTTCTAGGTCAAACCGTTTGGCGTCCAGCGCTGCAACCGTACGAAATGGTCTAACCTAACCCTCAAAAATGTGTTTTCAACAAATGCGCTATACTAACCTGGCGGATTGACTTTGTGTTGTTTTATACTTTATCTGTTAAAATATGAACAATTTTTCTCCTTCCGTTTTGTTTTTATGACGGTTTTACAAAAGCACTGTTTTTGGAGTGATGTCCCCCCTTAAGGGAAAGTGACTTTGGACATTTTTTGGAGATTTAGTCGAAACGTTTAAAATTTTGCTTCTCGTAAGATTTTGTTCTCATACTTGCTCAGATCTGTGGGGAAAAAATCAGGGAGACTCATCCCCAGTAGTGTCATAGAATTGACTAGAATGGGCTTTATATCTGCAATAGTTTTCAAGAAAAAAAATAAAAACAATTTTTTGTTGAAAAATTTGTTTAAAAAATTGTTTAAAAAATTGTTTTTATTTTTTTCTTGAAAACTATTGCAGATATAAAGCCCATTCTAGTCAATTCTATGACACTACTGGGGATGAGTCTCCCTGATTTTTTCCCCACAGATCTGAGCAAGTATGCGAACAAAATCTTACGAGAAGTAAAATTTTATACGTTTCGACTAAATCTCCAAAAAATGTCCAAAGTCACTTTCCCTTAAGCCAAAATGAAGCTTACTCAATTATCTAAAAGGATTTTAACACAGAAATTGTAAAATCTTAATCCGTCTACATCAAAAAATTTTTTTTTAAAGTGCTTTTAACATGTATGAGCCCCTTTAAGAGGGGAAGTTTGGAACATATAAAAAAAAGGAATTGGAATAGAGGGGGACGCCCTTACTGATTTGGGTGAATAATAAGTGAAGGAATATAAGTCAACCTAGGTTTGGCAGAAATTGTACAAGGCTTGGTGCGCGGATAGCTTTAAAAATTGCTGAGTCACGACCCACAATGCACAAAACCCGTAAGTATAGGCGGAGGTAATTTCCAGGGAGTTAGTGGGAAAACCAGGAACTTTTACCGCCGTGCAATCTTTGAGACTTTGACTGTTCCTAACCATGAAGTCGATTTTAACGTATTGCTGTCTCTCAGTGACACTTAGTAAGGCAGTGTCTTTAATAATTTTTTCGCTACTGCAGGACAGGCGTACAACCTATCAGTGGGCTGTCGTTCAAAGATCCACACTAGAGGCTTCGATGGAGATGGAGCGGATAGTGTTCACGGTGCTGCCGGTTATCCTCGTCATGGTCTACGTTATGCCCATCCTGTGCACCGTAGAGGTACGGCCTTCAGTTTTTTCTCGTCAAGTGTTACGTATAAGCAAAGTAGGTAGGACAGCGCTGCAAAGAAATCATCTCTACTACACTGATAATCCAAACGCTATGAGTATAGCGTCAATTGGTGCAATGCAAAAGCATTGCACATGAAGTGCAATGCCTCCCATTTCCCATGCATTAGCATAGGGCCTTTTCGGGAAGCATTGCACCAAAGTTGCAATATGGCTGTGGCATTGCACGTATCGTGCGATATCACAGCGCATTTGCACCATACGTGCTATACTCATAGCGTTTGGAATCTCAGTGTAAGAACATGAGAAATAACGAAACGTTGGTATCTGCTCTACAAACTGAAATGTGTACTTAGTATGCGTCTACAGATGCATACTTGCAAGTACACACACTGTAAAAAATCATGGGTAAATTTACCCGTGCACTGCACTGATAAATTTTACGCCATGGCCTGAGAAAATTTTTTCTCACATAATGGAGGCGCAGAGCTAAACTAACTATGTGGCTGGAAAATTTACCCACTGATAGTGTGGGGAAATTTATGAGCCACAAAAGTAAATTTACTCTTTGGGAAGATAAACTGATTTCACTTGCCACGACAGTAAAATTACCCCAGCAAGTCAGGATAAATTTCTACACCTGGAGTGGCCGACCATCTTTCCCGCGCCACAGGGGCAAATTTCCTCGCGCCTCTGCTCGGCCAGTCCGGCCGGACCAGTACAGAGCTCGCAGCGACCTGCCAGTAGGATGTCTCGTGGCGCAGTGGATAGCGTGGTGTGATTTGAATCACAAGGTTGACGGTTCGACTCCCATTGAAGTTAATAACGTGGGCAAGGTTTAGTCACCCTAACATAGTTTTAGCCACTGGCGCAAGCCAGCAGGGTAATTTTACCCCTGTGGCGTGAGTTATTTTGGGTCGGTAGAAATTTACCCCTGTGGCTCGGGAAAGATACACCCTCAGTCCATGTGCGTAAATTTCACAAGAAATGGGTGGAGAAATTTCTTACGCCATGTACTGATCTATTTACCTATACATTTCATGAGAAATAACTACCGCTTGATGGTGGACCAAGCGTTGCCCGGTCCAAATGCGTAAATTTTCCCCCGGGATTTTTTACAGTGCATGTACAGATGCATACTCAGATGAGTACGCGTCTAAAGATGCATGCGTACTCAGCTGAGTACACATCAGCAGATGCATACCTAACTCATCTAAGTATGCATCTGTCGACGTGTACTCAGCTGAGTATGCATCTGTAGACGTGTACTCATCTCAGTATGCATCTGTAGACGCATACTGAGTACACATTTCAGTTTGAAGAGTGAGTGGCTAAAACGGTTCCCGTTTTTTTTTTTTTGTTTTTTTTTTTACGGATTCCCTGGAAATCTGCTGTGATTTTCTTGCAGGCTTCCTGGAACCCCAGAAACCGTTCTTGCGAGGACAGAGCAGCCCGACTGCAATTGCGGAATCCTTCGAACATGTGCCCCACCATTCCATCTTAGTACCCAATGGTTCTGTAAGGATCAGTGTATGCTTCTCCAGGTTCTGGTCCTGGGGAAGGAGGCTGAGCTCTTCGCTTACGTGACAGCGTCGCATGTCGTCACCCTGCTGATTCCCATGTGCCTGGCTGGAGACTCGCTGAGCCTCTTCCGGAACGAGGTGTCCAACGGCGCCTACAACGGGCCTTGGACGGAGGTGGGGTCCCACTACCACTACATTACCTGTTTTATCTTCGACGGGCATTTGATATCCAATACGAGATCACGTTATTGGACTGTGCCTTCATGAAACTTATTTCACCAACCCGTTTGACTTTCACACGGTAAAAACGGAACCTGGTTTTCCCGGGAAGCCCATGATAGAGACGGGTGATTTCCGGGGAGTTCCTGGGGAAACCAGGAACCGTTAATACCGTGCACATGTCTACAATCGGTTTCACACGCATGATTTTTTATTTATTTATTTTTTCTCGGGGGCGGGGGGGGGGGCACCTAAATTGAGAGGTACTGCTATGCAAACTCAAGCGTGTGCCTGGCATGCACTTCTTGGTTCATGCCTGGCAGGCACACACTTCTTTTCTGCATGCCTGGCAGGCACACACTTCTTTTCTGCATGCCTCAGGCAAACACTTGCCGTAGGTAATGCATGCATACAAGCAAGTGTGTGCCTGCCAGGCATGCAGAAAAGAAGTGTGTGCCTGCCAGGCGCATGCAGAAAAGAAGTGTGTGCCTGCAGGCATGCACCAAAGAGTGCATGCCTGGCACACTTGAGTTTGCAGAGTGGCCTCCGAAGTTTTCTCAAGTTAAGACACACCTATTTTTTTAAACGGAGTTTTTTTTTTAGTTGCCGGTCCCAATTGATAAAAAGAGACAATAATCTTATTGTCAATAAATTGTACTCATAGTATATATTAGAAGATGTCTCGAAACTCGTATTAGGATTTCAACAAAGTGACAATTGGTTATTTGAGGGGTAGTGGCGCTTTTGAAGCTTTACGGTTTTCCGAATGATTGCTTGTCTGGTAGGAACGACCATTTGGACGCTACTTCCGCCTGCACATGATGAGGGCGTCGTTCGGCGTGGCGGGCCGGCTTCGAGGCATCGGCATCGGTGCTCTCGACCGCCGGTCGTGCATTCAGGCTCTCAAGTCGTGGTACAACTTCGTACAGTTTTTCCGCAATTTCAGCCCAGGTGCGCCACGCTGAGGCGCGTTCCCATTACACGGGGAAATAACTTTGAAAGAAACTCAGTCTGCAAATTTTTGAATTCCTCATGAATGTTGGATGAATTTCAGTAAATTGCTGCCAAATTTCCTGAAGTTTTGCTATGAATTTCACTTATTTTGAGTACTTAAAAATTTTGACTTCCTATCAAGAATTTTCAAGACATTTGACTCCTCAAAACTATAGGGCGTAAGTGCTCCACGTGGATTTGCTTTTACAATACGTTTTGGGTTTTAAGGGTATGAGGCTGGGTTGGAAGTGCCAAGTACCGTCCAGAAACCGCATGAGTACTACTATTAGAGTCACTGCCTTGCAACCCTGTTCTCCACTGTGCAACTAGCCTATGGATAATAAAGATGGTTCTGGAGTGTTCCCCTGTTGTACGAATATGTTTTTTTGTTTCTTATCCTGTGGTCACAACACTTGATTTTAAACTATTCTGTAAAAGAATAGAGTATTTTTATAAACTGACTTCCTCCTATAGGGGTAAGTCACGTCAAAATTAAACTACAAGCAACAAGATGTCACGCCGCAGTCACATTGGCTAAAAAAAACTACGGAAGTCAGTTAATTTGTTTGCAACGATTCTTCGTGCCCAAAACCCAACATTTTCCATTAGCCTCTTAAGAATCTTCTCCGCAGGACTGACATCATTTTCCCCATGCCCATTGCAGACCATTGGGTTGCACGGAATTGACTGTAATCCACGGAGAAGATTGACAAGAAGGCTACGGAAAACATTTCGTCCTGGGAAACGGACACAACAAGTTTTTAACAGATTTCTCCGATAAACACGCTGGTAAATTCCTGATACTATACTTGTCAAGTGCGCACAGTCCTAGGTTTACTTACGTTCACTCGCATGGGAGTACTTGTCAAGTTCCGGGCGTATCGTTTAGACAAACAGTATGGAGTGTCCACTCTACAGTCTCCCCAGCTTGACAACTGCCGCGCCCAAAATATTCCGCGAGTCCGACCACTTATCTACTGCCGCTCCCGCGGGCGGCTGGCGGGGCGGCGGCCAGGCGGCATCAACAAGTGACTAGTACTGCGCAGCGACAGCTGTGACGGGCAAGGTCAGCCCGCGGGCCGGCAGAGCGATTCTCACGTTTTGGGGTAATTTTGGCGTCTCTGATTTGCCGAAAGTGAAAAATATCCAATTAAGTTTTTCTGATTATTGGGGTCCTGGATGATACTAGAGTTATGGCAATGGTATTTATAGTAAAGACCTTGTACTACCTTCCTAAAAACATGAGCCATAAGGTATTCCCACACGTTTTAGTGGGTGTTTTGATCACGGAAATTACGTTATCACGGAAGTTACAAAGTGTGAAAATCGGCTTTAACGGCTGACTCGGGCTTGCTGTGGCTTAAAAGTCGTTCCAGGGTCAAATGATACTCTAAGCCCGACATTTAAGCGGAAAATTTTTTCACCTAGTGCTGCTGCATCATTGGGTAAAGGGTGCCACGGAAGTTACAGGTAATTGTTGATACACGCCATTTTATAATGCTCTAGCCCGCTTTGAGACCGTGTACAGCATCTTAGATTTCCGCGACCCATGCAATTATATCCCAGGGACTCCACTTTGATGGCTTGTGTCATGGAAAGTTAAAAGTTTGGCTTGGGGAGAAGTCCAGAGCTGCCTTTTCGAAATTAGTTTAGTGAAATTGAATACACGGAGGACATTTTTCGTTGCAGCATAAGTACCTTTGAAAGAAGTCTGGCGTGTTGGTCTTCGGTTGAAATTAGCTCGAGACATGCCAAGCTTCGAATCCCCATCGACAGTTGGCAGCATTTTCGAACCACACCGCCACACTGGGGGCGGAAAGTTCGAGTATGTTCTCTTTGGACAATCACGGAAGTTACATTTAGGGTATTCCAAACGCTACGTAGACCAATCCAACGAACGTGAACTTTTCGAAATGTGTGCGTTTAGTGGGCAATGGCCCTCCCTAACATCAGAAACAAACCCCATGTCGATATCTGCGCTCGTTTGGGCACAGGAGTCAGAAGAAACGAAACTACCCCGTAACGTGAGAATCGCTCGGCACAGTGTTGGCGGCTCCACGGCGCGAGATGGTCGACGCGACGAGCGTGCTGGTGGCGGTGCTGGCCGTGCTGGTGGCGGCCGCGCTGTGGTCGCGGCACCGGCAGGGCTACTGGCGCAAGCGTGGCGTGCCCACGCCGCCCGGGAGTCTGCCCTTCATCGGGGACATGGGCCCCATCGTGTTAGGCCGCAGGAGCTTCGCGGACCACTTCACCGACCAGACGCGTGGCCACCGCGACCGCGGCTACTGCGGCATGTACATGTGGGGCCAGCCCACGCTGCTGGTGTTCGACCCCGAGATGGTGAAGCAGGTCGTCTGCAAGGACTTCTCCAGCTTCCACGACCGCGCGCCGGCGAGCGTCTCCGCGGAGACCGACCCGCTCAGCCAGCACCTGTTCAGCATCACGGGCAGCAAGTGGCGGAACCTGCGCAACCGGCTGTCGCCCACCTTCACCTCCGGCAAGCTCAAGCTCATGTTCCCGCTGATGCGCGACATCAGCGACCAGCTCAGCGTCACGGTCGCGGGCGACGTCAAGAAGTCTGGCGGCGAGGTGGACGTGGCTCTCAGAAGAGGTGCTCAGGAAGAAAAACACCGCTGAGGGAGCCACCATCCACGCAGTGCATTAGCCCGTCCCGATTGAGCCCCGATGACCTGAGAGCCCGGGCGAGAGCCCGGGCCAGAGCCCCGGCCGAGCCCGACTGGCGCCCGGACTGAGTCCCGATGGCCCCAGACCTGACCTGAGCCCCATTAGACCCCATTTAAGCCCCGCGCCAAAAAAAATGTTGCAATTTGACCCAAAAGCTGGGCTCAATCGGGCGAGACCACTCTTACAGCTTGGCCTGACTCGGACGGACTCTGCCGGGGCTTAGCCAAGGCTTAGCCGGATTCCTATGGGGCGACCGGGCGGGTCAGGGCCGGGACTGAATAGGGTCGGGGCCTATGGGCTGGCACTTCGTCGCAGCAAGCCCCGGCCAGAGCGAAGGGTCAAACACTCTGATAATCGTTTGTACACTTCTTCCAGTAATTATTAGTAATTACACGCCAAAACTGGCTATTTTCGCTGTTGTTATCGGATTTGGGGGGGGGGGTCCTATGAAAATAGGCGAAACATGCTCTAGGCTGGCCAAAATAGGGTAAACTATACAGTTATCGGCAGGGGTACAGTTATCGTCATCTCGGCGAATAATTGGGTCCTGCTCTGCAAGTACGCGTCCGTTAGTGATACGGCCAATGCAGGTCGCTAGAGACACCTTTTGAGCATGCAGGACCGAGACAGCATCGCGTTTGACTGAGCATGTCAGCCAACAGAGCCACGTTTCTAGTCAAGTGCAGAATGAAGCCGCTTCGGCCGCCTGTTCTTATCTTCCATGCTAGGAACAGGGGTTCAATCTTTCGTTAAATTCGTGAATGTGGGCCAGAAAAAACTATTCTTTCTGCCAGGTTCCTTCTCCCCATCTATTGAAGAGGGCATACTGCGATTGGAGCATAGAAATTCCTCTTACTTGCCCTCATTCGGGGGGTGCTGATAACTGCACCAGAGAAATCACCCCAAACACAGTTATCGTCAGGGTGGCCTCAAACTTCATTGGTGTTCCGGGCGTCGCCCGGGAGTTAATATTCTGATGCATTATGACCAAAGGAAATCCCCTGCCAAATTTGAATGAAATCGGACCACTTTTTCCCAGTGATCTACGTGATTTACGAAATTTCCTCCTCGGCGCTTTGAGAGGTTGTTTTTTCGCAGCTCTTGGTGCTAGTTGTCCGTGAGTCTAAAATAAGGTGTGCAAGAGGCATAACAGAAGAGAGAGGGTGTTCGTGACATGTCGAGGGGTGATATAGAGTGTCTGTGACGACTGTTAGAAATTTTCGTCACTTTCGGTCATGTTTTGCCTTTTTAACAAGGGGTGCCGATAACTGTCATAAAGGGTGTCGATAACTGTATTTTGGCTGCCGATTACTGTGTTTCAGGTAACCTTTTTCTCAGGTTAAATATAAGCGTCACAAAAAGTTTTTGGTCAAATCTTTGTCAGCCACTTCTTTGTCTAGATCCTTCTGAGGTGTCTGGAACAAGTCACACGGGTCTAAGCGTCATAACCTACCCTCGAGGCCCTCGAAAAGAAAGCGATGCTCCCAAACTGACGGTAACTGTATAGTTTACCCTACTGGAGTTTTAGAGTATTTTTGTAGGTAATCACTGGTAATCAGTAATCCTGTGTACACTCCTGAGCTGAGTGGTGGAGCCCTCGGGCCAGAGCCCAGCCCGAGCCTGACTCGAGCCCCGATGGTCAGAGCCCCGGGATGGGCCCGGTTTGAGCGAGCCGTACTTGAGCTCCACGCCAAAAAAAAAACTTCCGTTTTGAACAGTTTTTGTAAAGCTTTTGGGTCAAATTGCAACATTTTTTTTTGGCACGGGGCTTAAATGGGGTCTAATGGGGCTCAGGTCAGGTCTGAGGCCATCGGGACCAGGGCGTGGCAACGGCCTAGGGAGAGCGTGAAGCGATGCTCGCGCCGTCAGTGCAGAGGTTGCGCACCTATTCGAGATCATGAAAGCTAGACAGTGTTTTTCAAAACGCTTTGCACCGATGGAAACGGCTTGAAATTTAGGGTGCATTGGGCTAATTGCTCTTCTCGAAACTTCCCCCTGACTTTATGTTAAGGTGCAGTGAAAACACCAAAAAACACGAGAAATCATAAAATTCGGGAAAAACTCGAATGCGCCATGTTGATGTAAATTATTCCGCCCTTGTGTTCGGTTAAATTGGAAGTATCGGGCAGTCTACTAGGCCTAATGCACCTTAAATTTTGTGCTCTTTTGATCTGCGCAAAGCGTTTTGCAATCAACGGGCTAGATCCTCCAATCGAAGCAAAATAAGTAACCCATGCACCTCCCTCGCGCATGGCTTCACGCGCTTCCTAGGCCGTTGCCGCCCCCTGTCGGGACTCAGTCCGGGCTCCAGTCGGGCTCGGCCGGGGCTCTGGCCTGGGCTCTCAGGTCATCGGGGCTCAATCGGGACGGGCTAATGCACTGCGTGGATGGTGGCTCCCTCAGCAGTGTTTTTCTTCCTAAGCACCTCTTCTGAGAGCCTCTTCTTTAATCTGCCAGTGGGCTGCGTTTCGCCACAGTATCACCTTCCTCTGAGCCGAGCTCTTCGCGAAGGCAGGCAGGATACGTGTCGTTGAAGGCTCAACAGTCTGAAAAGATGCAAAAACAACGTTTTCGGCACCCTACGAAAAATGGCTAACTTTAGAGCTGCGTATCTCCTGAACGGTTAGTCTCACGGACCTGGGCGTGAGCTCATTGTATTCCCTGGCTTTTTTTCTACAACATGAGCGTTGAATCGTGTCAATGGGTCCAGTAGTTTCCGAAATCCCAAGATTTGAGTATTTTCCTACATTTTGGCCCTTTTTTCCAACTTTGGAGGCCGATATATCCGTAAGTATTGGTCGTAGATCCATTCTGAGAGCACCATCGTGTTCCTTATTTAATTTTGCATCACGGAGCCAATTTTCATCCACCTGGCTTAAAAAGCACGTCTCGTATAAAAAATACCCAAAATACCCAGCTTTTTTAAGAAATAAAAACAAAGTTAGCTATAACTCAGCCAAGAAGGCTTCGAGCGACCTAATATTTTATTTTTGGACATCTACTTAGGTAAGCAATCTGCCAAGCCATCAACCGCGGAAATCGAAAGGGGTCACTGTAAGGACCTGTCCTTATTAAATAAATCTACTCAGCAGATGCGATGCCCGCACGGCACTGCAGCGTGGTTTCTAGGGCCGTCAAAGCAGAGGCGGCACTGCTCATCTTGCCCCTCTGCCGAACTGGAAGCAGCTGCCCTTGCATCGGCATTCGCAGCCTGTTGAAGCGCGTGCTGATGAGTCCGCCTTGCTGTTATTTCAGCTTCATCCATGAATCCTTCGGGCAGCTCTTGCTCTTCTTCATTTCCTTCACTACTCGATGAAGCGGACGGAACATTCCCAGCACCCCTGCCGCGACCACCCCTTCCGCGACCACCCCTTATGTCTGTCGAAAGTTATGTCTGTCAAGTTATGTCTGTCGACGGTTATGTCTATCAAATATTATGCCTGTCAAATGTTATGTCTGTCAACAGTTATATGTATATGCGATTTGGTTATTTCTGTAAAATGTTATGTCTGTAGCAATTATAATTATAATTTAAATAATAAATGCTTTTTATTTCAGAAATATATCCGTTATTTCTGTCACCAGTTATGTGGATTTACAGTTATGTGGGTCAAAAGTTATGTCTGTCAACAGCAACTCGATTTTGACTAAAGCTAAAACTTTGATATCCTGAAACAGCCAAACGGGGTGAGATATCGCAAAACCCTTTGGCAGGGGGTCTTTTTATGATGACCCCTACCCCCAAAAAAAGTTCCATCAAAATCGGAGAGATGAAATTCCAAGCGTTCGTTGGTTTGGCGTGGAATCGCCCAATTGGCTTTCCCGCCGCCGAGCTAGGCAGCCCCTAGCGCCTGCCCGCGCCGCGGGCTGCCTACCTCACCGGCGCGCCGCAGCCAGAGCGCGCCGAAGCCGAAGCGCTCGGCCGCGCGCCGCCGCTAGAGCGCGCTGGTGCCAGGGCGCGCTTCCACGCCTCGCCGCTAGAGCGCGCTGTGTTGACTGATGCTGACGCTAGTCTTCGCTGACAGCAGAAAACACCCTTGTGGCGTTGACCGAACCAGGCAGCACGAGTTGGTTCAGCACAAAACGTAATGACAACATGAATGGGTTTGTGAACGAGGAGCAGGGTTCGGAAAGTTACTCAAATTTTTGTAACTAGTACCGTTACAGTTACTTGTCCCAAAATTTTTACTAGTTACTGTTACCGTTACTTTCGTCCGGAAAAGTAACTAGTATCGTTACTGTTACCGAAAAAATTGTAACTAGTTACTTTTACTGTTACTTTTTGGCAGAGTAGAGAAGTTCAATGCATAAAAACGCCCCCCCCCCCCTCCCCGGTCACTTTTCCAAGCTGATCGGGTTCAACAAACGTCGTCTCTTCATTGCTTCTGCGACCAAGGTCAAGTGCACAGCCTCGCCCATTACGACCGGTGCCCTAGCTCCCTGCAAATTATTGACACATTGAGAAAACTCACCCTGTATAAACTCGGGAGGGGTGATTTCGGAGCGCGGATGACTTTCGTTTGGGGAACATAAGCACTGTAAGTCGCGAGATGGAGTGAGGTGGTCATGGTGTTAACTGAATCAGGTTTGACCAGAACTCTTTTGTATTGGTTAGTTTGAGTTTAGCGCATGCGCACTTTGAAATTTTTGGATTTTCTCATAATCATTGACCAGTTGGCACTGGCAAGGCACGGTCCAATACATGGATATTTCAAAATAGCCAAATGTGAAAATGGGAACACCTTGCAATGCGATTAAGTGAGCAGAAAAGCAGCAAGCACTAATAGATAACGCTGCGGGGCGACTTTCCTGTAGCACAGTAGTGAAAGGACTGTTAGTGAGAATAGTTCACACACAAGCCTATACAGAGAGGAGGTAAGATAAATTGGTTTAACTATTATTCTCTACAAATCAAAGAGTGTACATGGTACGCTCTAACTGGAGCATGCCTACAAGCACGCTCTAACTAGCGCATGCCTGCCAAGCATGCACTAACTAGTGCATACATGCCATGTACACGCTAACTGAAGCATACATTTACTGCATAAGGGATAGGGAGTTTTCTGCATCAGGAAGCGTGTACATGGCATGTATGCACTAGTTAGAGCATGCTTGGCAGGCATGCGCTAGCTAGAGCGTGCCTGCAGGCATGCTCCAGTTAGAGCATACTATGTACACTCTTTGATTTGTAGAGTTTTTTTAAAATGAAACTCAACTTTAATACTGATTTGTGTTAAAGGAATTCAAATAGGGTAGCAGATAAAACAATAAAGCTAAGTAAGCGAGAAGCAGCAAGCCTTAATAGATAACGCTCCGCGGTGACTTTTCTGTAGCACTGCAGTGAAAGGACTGTTGGCGAGAATAGTTCTTAAGACACAAGTCCATACGGAGAGGAGGTAAGATAAATTGATTTTAGTAAGATTATTTTTTTTAAACTCCACTTTAATACTGTTTAGTGTTACAGGAATTCAGATAGGCTAGCAGATAAAACAGCAACCACAAGAGAGCTTGGAACCGATGCAAACAGTGAGGCAAGACAATTTGTTGTAGAAACTTAATTCGATTCATTCTTATCGACCTTAATAAAAATATCCTGCGCAGGGAAAGAGATTACCAATCAAGCAGAACTTGATTCACACTATCTGGTACGGCAGCTGACTGACGGACGTGGAATCCTGGACTGACAGCTGTTGCGCGGCTGGAAACTTCCTGAAGCGGACCACTATCAGGAAGGTGAACCTGGAAAATGTCATAGAGGGACATCACTCCAAAGTGGTCAATCATTTTTGTAAAATTCTGCTCCCAACTTGACAGACTGTGTTCTACGTTGAATGCTGGACAATGGAAACCGTATCTATTACGGACAAAAGAAAGGCAAAGAGCAAAATTGCCGTTTCTCCACTTTTCAACAGCATTTTTCCTAAAAGTAAATTTTGCAACTTGCTCTTAAAGTCGCATAGCGCGTTATTTGAGATGTAGTAAAGAGATTTCACGTCGGATCGCTATGGCCAGAACTGCCAGAACTAGAAAAACTTTGCCGGCGCCATTACTTTCCGCGATAATTTTTATCGTTGTGCATTTTTCAAAGCCCCAAAGTCCTACTGGCGGGAAATCATCAGTTCGCGAAACTGAAGGTGTTGCAACCCCGTTTGCAAAGAAAGTATATTAAGGGGGCACACCAGTGAAAATGCAGAGGTTTCGAAAAACGATCATTCTGAGAAAAGTAACCGATGTATTCGATTGATATTTTATTCTTGGCTCAAAATTATGTCAAAGAAAAGGAAAATCAGTATGGGAGAGCGAGGTGGCGATGGCAAGATGAAGCGCCAGTGCACTTGATTTTTCAACGACCCTGCTTCACTCCTGCCACGATTCCGCCTCTCTGGATTGAGCTTCGCGCACGGGATTTGAAAATTTCTCAACAGGACACATGTGGCTATGGTCTGAACCACGGGCATGCCAAAATAATGATTTCGAATTTGTTTTTTCAGAGGGCAAAAATAGAAACAAATTTTTTAACCAATTTTTTCGCACTTTCATGGCTGCAGCTCACGTCCTATTTATGGGATGGCCATTTCCGAGGTTCAGACCATAGACGCAAGTGTAACGAACATTTTGCCGCAAACCGCATTAAATTATCTTAATTTTTGCGCCCGTGAGAGTGGCACAAAGGTACAAAAAAGGTGTTTTGAGAAAAAGCCCTTTTAGTAGAAACATAGATTTGACGTGTTTTTCGGATTATAAATGCGTCTTTTGACGTATTTTAGTTCAGTTTGCGCCAAAATGTCCCTCTTTTCAACTGCGTTTGGGTGGTTCAAGGGTTTTGTAATTGAAGTTCAAGTGAAAACCCTGAACGTTAACAATTGGTCAAAAATATGCAAAAATAATTACCTTATTAGCAACTTCAAAAATGTGCACAAGCCAAAGTATTCGGAATTTCGGGGTGGGGTTTGCGGCCTTCGACTCGGGATGAATAGCAGAAAAATAAGATAAAATAAAAGAGAAGGCAAAAATTTGCCGATTTTCACTGGTGTGCCCCCTTAAGCATACATACAGTCTCATTTTCTTTGTTATACGAAGAAATAGTTTGTAAATTACGAAGTACTTTCTTCGTAAGCTTGCTCGAGATACTTCGTTATAACAAACTGCTTTTCTTTGTAGGGCCCAAAATAGTTTGTAAGGTTTTTCCAGTGTGGCTACCGCATGAACTGCAACTATAATAATCAGCCACTCGTGAGTACAAAATTTTATGAAACAAAAACCAGGTTACGCGATTTTATGCTAGATCGTCGTCGAAAAGAAGTTTTTGGATGAGATTGGAATTTTAGTTGATCTTCATTCATAGATGTAGTTCATGCAATAGCCACAGATGTGCTTTATATCCTGTGCGTATATGACCACGACCATGACCCCGACTGACCGCACTCTTAAAACCTTACGAAGTATTTTGAGCGTACATATAACAAACTAATTTACTTTGCTATACGAAGAGATAGTTCGTCAATTACGAAGTATTTTCTTTGTAAGCTTATGTATGCTCAAAATTCTTTGTTATAACAAACTACTTTTCTTGCAAGGCCCAAAATAGTTTGTAAGGTTTTCTCAGTGCGCATCGACCTACCTCGAAGGCGTTCCCGTTCTGGCGAAGCTGCAGCACGATCATAGTAAGCAGGCGGACTTCGGCGCTCGAAATAGGCCACCTCCATTCAGTTGCATCATTCTTCATCACAAGCTGGATTTCGCACCAACGGGCTGTCAGCATCCTGGCGACTTCTTCAACGTGCTGCAGACCCTCCAGCGGGACCGTCGCCGGGTCCTCACACTTGTCCACTGCGGCCTGGAGCTCACACTCACCCTTTGCCATGACTTCCAGCTTTGCTTCCCACTCGTCTATTTGGTTCTGGAGTATGTCTTTCGATTCCCTCAGCGCCTTCAACACGCCGTTGGCAAAATCTTTCGCATCCCGTAACTGCAGAAACTTTGGAGCCGCCTGCTCTGCCCGTAATGTCCGCAGCGAGCACAAGGAGTGCGCATCGTCGGCGCAGGATTCAACCGCCTCCATGGAACAGTCTCTGCACCAGAGCCATAACCTGCGAACACAGAAGGAAGTCCCAAGTCTAAAGCAACAGGGTGATGCATGTACGTTGTTTCTCTAGCTATAAAGAGCTAACTACAACTGCTGAGAATTCTGCGAACGGAGGTTCACTCTAACGGTAAAACATTTAGTACCCTTCCTGCCTATACAAAATCTCGTCTTTCTTGAGGCGAGAAACAGAAGTAACGCCGAAAACTTGCCAATACTTCAGTGAATCGTCAACATCTTGCAACAAACCTTGTGTTGCTAGTTCATTAACGGATTTTAGAGATACTATTAAGTATCAGCAAGTTTTAGGAGACACGTTTTTTAAATATCACCTCGAAAAGGGCAAGATTTTGTGGAGGGCCGTTAAATGGCGTCGCAAAAGGCATTACAGTAAGCTTAGGCACGTCACCTTCGAATTTGGAGTGTCTAAACCAGGAAGGTGTGAGTTAAGGTGTACCTTCACTTCAACGTTTCGGCAGTTTGCCACTTCTCACAGAGTTCAGACTATGAAATTTGATTCAGAAGGCTTCAAACGACCCGGTCCGAAGAGAATCCTGTTAACTCGTCGCATTTCGAAAAGAGGGTTTATCGTTAAGCGGAGCCAGCGCACTAATACAGCGGTTTCCTGGTCACGACCCCAAGAATTTTTCACGGAAGATTGCAGAGCTACCTTTGAAGGCGTTGGACTTACTTGGGAATCGTGTTCATCGTAGATGTAGATGTCGCAACCTGAGACTTGTTTGTGGAAATATTATCTAAGACCTTGGTTGGAACCACAGGTTTAGGAGATTTCATTCAGTTTAACTGCTATGATTTGTTTGTGTGCTTTGCAGTACTGGTCAGACCAAAAGTTGGCCGAAAGAAACAGGGCGCAGGAACTGAACAAGTACAGACGGCACAATATGGGGGACGACTCTCACATCTGCTCGCTCCTCATATGACCAGCGGGTTTTTAGCTGTATGGGTGCTCTACAATTCGAAGAGACTACATTGTATGCTCGAACTGGAGCATGCCTGCAAGCACTCTCTAGCAAGCGCATGCCCACCAAGCATGCACTTACTAGTGCATACATTCCATGTACACGCCAACTGAAGCATGCATCTAGTGCATAAGGGATAGGGAGTTGCCTGCATTAGGAAGCGTGTACATGGCATGTATGCACTAGTAAGTGCATGCTTCGCAGGCATGCGCCAGCTAGAGCGTGCTTGCAGGCATGCTCCAGTTAGAGCATACAACGTACGCTCTTCGATTTGTAGAGTGGCTGGGAGTGCGTGGTTGGACTTTCATCTACAAAGGACGTATCGGAGGTAAGCTTGTTGGCCAAGCAAGTGAAAGAATATATTTACCAGTGAGAGGTCTTTGTCCTGAATGCTTTGAACTTCTTTTCTAGGTTGATCCCTATGGAAGGAGACACGAAAGGTCTCGATCTAGGGTCAGGGACGCTCCAGAGGATTTCGATCGAGGAGTCATGGACGTTCCAGAAGATCTAGATCCAGAAGTCATAGAGGCTACAGAAGATCCAGATCGACAAGTCACGGACGCTCCAGGAGATCCAAAATTACCAAAATGTTTTAACCAACTTCAACCCATCAAATACGAGGTAGGTGTACGCCAGACCGTGTCTTCTATCGTAACAGGCCTCGCGATGCTGCGCCAGTCACGACACAATCTACACCCGGCGTGTATACCCACGTTAGCCTGCGGCGCTAGCCTGCCCCATTTGAGCCCCGTGGCCAAAAATTCGTCCTGGGGCAAACCAGGGCCAATCAGCAGTGTCCAAAATGGACCATCGACGATTTGGCCCATTTTTGGCTCAAATGTTACCTACCCATAGGTTACCATCGGGGTAAAATTTTAGCCACCTAGGTGTCGTTTCATAGGAGGTTTAGGCAGTCTTAGTTTTTGACTTTTCTTCTTAAGTTGTTTTTGACTAAATTGCTACATTTTTTAAAAATCCCTCTCAAGTCTACACTTTTGCCCCAAATTGGCTGAAAACTTCTTCTCTCAGGTAAAATTGCATGAGGAATTCGATTTCAGGGCCCAAACGGACCCCTGGGCAGTCTATCATAGAGAAAAACGCCAATTTTGACGAAAAATCCCTTTTTTTTAAGGTTTTACGTCGGTGCGTTTTAAAGCTACACCCAAATCCAAACTTTGTCAACTCTATGCCGGAAATCGTACCTCATACTACCACCTAAAATAGCGCTGCTCGACATTTGGGTGGTATGGGTATGGTTTGGGCGCTGCAGCCTTGGGAACTTTAAAATTATGAAAAACTAGCAAATTCCTCCTTACGGCGAGGTCAACCCTCCTGCATTGGCTGTCTCGTGTTCAACTGAGGCCCCACGGTAAGAATTAAGTTAGAAAGGTCCTTCTTACCCCTACCATCACTGACCCTCTGAGAAGCGCACTGAGGTCACTTTTGGGTCCATGGCTGCAGCCAAAATGACAGTATTGACGAAACGCCTGAAGGGAAGGCAACTTATCCTACGCGAACTTCAAACACGAAGGGTGTGGTCGTCAGCGCCATCTCGCGGGACTAGTTCAGTTCGTACCATCACCCACTTCTTGATGTTGTTATGTTGTTGTCTGTGTCTCCAGTCTTTTGGGTGGGCTTGTCTTGTTGTTGTCAAGTATTTTGTTATTGCATTTATCATTGAATTGGTCCATTAATTCGCGTGCATGGTGCTGAACCAGTTGAACAGTAAAACTGGAAGAGGTGAGCTGTAGCACTGGTAAGAGCTGAGTAGTGTGTATATCCGCGATGTGTTTGTTGCGGTTCATAACCCTTTTGTCTGTCGAGGAGTCCTCACAGAAAATATATCTTCCAGGCTCTGCCCCTGCTGTCCCAACATGCTGCGATCCTCTTTCAATGCACAAAAGGCCTATTACCAGCAATGTAAATTGTGTGACTCCACTGTTTGAGACCAAACAGTGGAGTCACACATTTTACAATGCTGTTTGGTCCACTGTTTGAGACCAAATAGTGGAGTCATAGGGTTTTTCTCTGCAGGGTGTAAGGTAACCAGAACACGAACATTTAATTTCATTAAAAAGTTATAACTTTCCACCGGATTTCCGGTGATAAGCTAGAATAGGCTTATAACACCCTTTGGCCACGTATGAACTGTGGCAATAATGTTCATGCGGATTATTGCCCTTGGTCAACGTTCATGTGCATTAAAACTGTCTGTGGCAGTGATCGCCTTGTTTATTGGAACATAAGGATCAGAAGAGATGCAAGTACAATGGTGCCCATGCAAGTCGTTTGCCCCGCGCCACTCCTCATCGTTGAGGACCTGGGTGGGTAAGCGGTGGGCCTGTTGGTAGGCCTATTGGTAGGCCTGTTGGTGGGTCTATTGGTAGGCCTGTTTGTAGGCTTATTTGTTGGTCTGTTGGTAGGTTTGTTAGTAGGCCTGTTGGTGGGCTTGTTTGTTGGTCCGCTGGTGGGCCTATTGGTTGGCCTGTTGGTTGATGAACTTTGATCGGCAAACTGGTCGAGCTTCGACAATGCCTTCGGCCCCACCGAGTACGGTGTGATGTTGGTGGAGTCGGACACCACCCACGCAAGGAGACTGGCGGCCATCGGGTCGGTCTCATCGAACTCTGTGCGAGCAGCGGTCAAAGATCTGCAAAAGAAGCGCCATTTCAATCTCAAAAAGCCAATATTTAGGGGATCTGTGATCTCGGATCGGTACACTTAAGTATACCTCTGTCAGTCCAAGGAAGAAAATTTCTCCAAGTTTATTAATAACACTAACAGGTATTAGGTAAAATACCATAATTAAAACCATACCGAAGTTTGTCGATATTTTTGGATACGTTTATAAAAAAAAAAAACGTTTTCCTTGAGCTAAAGGGATGATTGTAGACCAAAGTAAAGACCTTTGTTTTTTATCTTCAAAATGCTTCCGAAGAAAGTTAAGAACTTCCGGAGAAAACTGTCGCGCGGTAAAATTTTGTTTGTTTTGCCGGCTCTTGTTGCATTACCTACAACTCCCTTACAACTCAAGACAAAACAAAATATTTTTTTGGAAAATGTTGTAAAAACTCCGTTCTTTTATTTGGTTTTTACCGTTTGTCTCTAATAGGTATACTTAAAAAATCATCGCCATCAAAAGAGGGGGAAAACCCCCCTAAAGAGGGTACAGGGACGAGACTGCCCCCGTAATAAACGTCCTAACATTTTGAGCGTCTCTAGAGCTTAGGTGAAATCCACAGTAAAGTTTATACTGAATCGGAACTCTCTTTTTACGCGTGTACTCCCGAGGGTGTACGTACATGTTGTTGCGGCTGATCTGGGGCACGTTGGACTTGGCGGTGAGGGCTCGGTCGTGCTCCACTACGACCTTGAAGGGCGCCTCCACGGCAGGCTCGTCGAAACACGGGAAAGCGTAGCGAGCGGCGCGCGGTTCAAACTGCGTCGCCGCCAGGAAACTGCAAATGACCAACCATCAACGTCGTGCCCACACTCTGAAAACCTTACAAACTTTTTTAGACCTGTCAAAGAAAAACTGCTTGTTATGACGAAGTATTGAGAGCATACATAAGCAAAGAAAATTGTTCATAATTTACGAATAATTTCTTCGTAATACCAACTAATTTAAGTTTTCATATCATACATGTGTGCTCAAAATACTTCGTGAGGTTTTCACTGCGAAAACCGTACAAACTATTTCAGGCCCTACAAAGAAAAGCAGCTTGTTATGGCAAAGTATTTTGTGCATACATGAGCTTACAAAATACTTCCTAAGTTACGAACAATTTTTTCATGTAACAATCAAAGCAGTTTGTACCTTCCGTATGCTCAAAACACTTCGTAGGGTATGAAGCTTGGCCTCCTTTAACGAGACAGGACATTTGGTGGCGTCTGAACAAAATGCTTCGGGGGTGTTCTCTTCACTCACTGTGTGCGACGATCGTGGTCCGTGTAGGAGGACAAGTAGAAGCCCTTGAGGTCCGACCTGAGACGCGACCCGAACAGGGGGAAGCGCAGCAGGTAGTGCTGGCCTGCCACCAGCTCCCTCTCCAGGTCCACCACGAGGCGGTCGTCGAAGCGGCCCAGCGGCACAAACTTGGCCTCGCCGTTCCTGCGGACAGATTACAAAAGAATGAAGAGCTTGAAGAGAAGATTTCGGTTTCATTTTCATTTCATTTTCGCGATAAAAACATCTCATTTGGTATGGCGTGAGTTCAAAAATGTCAGATCTTGACCAAGAATCAGCTGTCCCATTTTCCCCCGTGTCCCATAATTACCTTAACTGACCCTACAGCTTGCAGTTTTGGAGGCACACGATTTGGGCGTGTGGTTTTTAAGACCCACAGTGTTCGACGATTATACTTAGCAAAACCCAAGCGCACTATTATGCACTGTTTTAAGCGTAGTTCTACGTTTTGAGCGTCTTCGCCTTTCTTAACGAATTGGACAATTCCTTCTCTATACAAGGCTTCAAACGTAATGTCTTCTAGCTTATTTTGGGCTTGAATGAAGTGAAATCACGTTTCAGTGTTGCCAGAGTATCGCGTCAATTTTTTCCCGCAATGGCAAGGTTGAAAATAACGTCGAAAATGCCACTTACTCTTCAAAGCGGTTCTGCTCGGCCGAGTACTTGAAGATCTGCACTTGGCTGAACGTGATGTCCGGCGAGCCGTGGAGGACGATGCGGGAGGTGGCCTCCAGCACGTCGAGGTAGATGTCCGTCGACCCGAAGAACTCGCCACTGGTCAGGTTGGGCGCCATGACCACCTGGAGGAAGCCCTCTCGTAATTTTCATGTCGAAACGTTGCTCAACGGTTGCACATTGAGTGCACTGTAAAACCAAAAGCGGTCTAGACCGCACCACTGGTGTGGTCAAATTGGTGCCATTTTGACAACATCAGTTGGTGTGGTCTAGACCACGTTTGGTGCGTTGGTGTGGTCATTGCATGGAAAGACAATACCAAACGTGGTCTAGATCACACCACACGTGGCCAAACGTCAACATGGCACCCATGTTGGCACCAGTTGGTGTGGTCTAGACCACGTTTGGTTTTTGAGTGTGCTCATGGACTTTTCTACGTAAATATTGACGTGCGGGTGTAAGTTCTACGTACAAATATTTATGCCTTTAAAAGTATAACATGGAAATATTGTCCCTAATCTATGTACATAACATGTGCCTAGATGAGGCAAAAGTTAACACTTAAAACCTTACGAAGTATTTTGAGCATACGCACAGTTCAAACTAAATTTATTTTCTCATACGGAGAAAGAGTTCGTAAATAATGAAGTATTTTCTTTGTAAGCTTATGCATGCTCAAAATACTTACTTTCATCAAGGTGCTTTTCTTTGTAGCCTAAATAAGTTCAAAAGGTTTTCTCAGTGTTCGGAACAATAAAAGTACACAAACATTTAGTGTGTGAAATCTTGACCGCGTACCGTGTATCTGGTGGGAACCACTGTGGTGGGCAGCTTCGTCTCGTGGAAGGCCTTGTAGTCGGCGAGCTTGGCCCCGGTGCCTTCGACGGCCACCTCGGCGAGGGGCTTCCGCGGCGGCAGCGCGAAGCCCCGCTGGGCGGCCAGCTCTGCGAGGGGGAGCTCGCTGGAGGCCGGGTGCAGCGGCAAGGGCTGCGGGGCAGGCGCGGCGGAGGCGGCCGCCAACGCCACCAGGACGACGAACAGCGAGCAGCCGTGGCGAGCCATGCTGAGACAAAGGCATTCATCAGTTGTCTTGGTCGCTTCTGGTATAGCCTATCATGTTCATGTTCCCTACCCTCCACAACGAACCCCGCTCTGCAAACTGAAGTGTGTGCCAGGCATGCAGTTCTTGGTGCATGCCTGCACGCACACACTTCTTTTCTGCATGCCTCAGGCGCACACACTTGCCACTGTGGCAAAAAGGTACGGAAAATTCTGTTAATTTTTTTGCCAGGATTCTCCGTAGCCCTCTTATCAATATTCTCCGTAGGCTCTTACAGTATTCTCCGTAGGGCCGCACAGTCTTCTCCGTAGGACCTGGAAGACTGTATAGTCCTACGGAGATTACTGTAAGGTCCTACGGAGAATACTGTGCGGTCCTACGGAAAATACTGTAAGAGCCTACGGAGAATACTGACAAGGCGACGGAGAATTACCACAAGCTGTTTACAGAATTTTCCGTAGTTTTTTTGCCGCAGTGCAAGCAAACGAAACCAGTGCCTTTTATCAGTACACATCAAGTTATATTAATACGTGGCAAATGTCCGGTGTCCGGAGCTATCGGATCGTTTGTATATCGAATGATATAAAAAAAATCTAGTTTCAATCGAGACAGTTACGGAGCTGACAGTTGACTTGGCAAATCCAATAATATTCATCGTAGACTTACGTTTGTCCTACGTTACCACACCAAGATTGTTAATTTCAGGGATCCTTAACTTAACTCAACATTTAACTAACACTGCTTTCATAACGTAACATAAGACAATGTTCGCTAAAGGTTAAGGGTACGGACTTATGAAAGTACTTGGAAAAGTATATCCACACAAATTCGAGACATAAAAAAATAACCTACCCTTTTGAAAAGATGTTAGAAGTTAAGGGTAATAACTTTAACTCTTATGATAAACGTTATGATGCCCTTATGAGGTAAGTTAAGGATCCCTGGTTAATTTACGAAAATTCTTCGCTAATTTACGAAGGAACATCCGGCTACAATTTTGGCAGAGCGGTGCCTTTGCCATTTATGATTTATATTTCACTGTTTGACCCGTCACACTGATGTTAATGTTCAAACACTGAGTTTTTCACACGCAAGTAAGTAAAGGTCGTGAAAACGCATGACTTATGTCTGTCATTCTGATTATGATTGCACACCCTATCCTACAGACCCAAGAGTAAATCTATTGCGTTTGCGTTTCGCTTACTCTTACCTTCTTGTCGTGCCTACCTGCGTTGGTGATTGACTGAAGTGACACACGCGCCTGCCCAACCAGTCCAATCTAACGACCGACCGCGCGATTGGGCGGAAATGAATATCTATGTGTGAGCGTTATCAGTCCCAGTCTTCGCTGATAATACTTTTTATCACAGGAAATAGGCTAAATAGATCAGCAACTCTTAGTGGACAGTCGCGCTTCTCGGGTGTGTGTAAGTCAGTGTGATTACTGTGTGACGGTTTTCGAGACAACGTCATGACGTCACATCCCCACTATGACGACAGTGGTGATGCGTGTAGCCAGACGCCTCCAACGTCGCTCAAATATACTTGAGCACTATCGTGGGCTCAACCACTTCTCATGGCGGGTAATTATTACACTTAAAAAATCAGTGAAGTTTTGAACTCTGAAGTTTGCTTCAGAGGGTGAAAGGTTACTTCTTTCTCCCAACTATTTGTCAGATTGCAACCATGAGACTAGGGGCAATGGACTCGCAACGGAGCTGGCCGGAATCTCTGCCTCGCTAATTGTAGTTCACTATTTCTCCGACTAAATATGCGATTTTTGAGATGGGTCGGGCATTTTCGGAAAGAAGACATCTTAAAGTATGCCCTAAATTCAAAAAAGTTTCAATTTTCCCACCAGGGCTCGAACAGGAACAGGTTAACCGTTGCGCTACTCAAATGCGCAGGGCGACGGGCATGGTGCCAGTGGCGACGCAGGGGGGGCGCCTCTTCAACTTGCGCTAGAAGCTTCCGGATGCCGCAAAAGTGATGGGACAAGTGGTGCACCTTGATATATGTCGAAGACAAACTATGTCCCATCACTTTTGCGGCATCGGGAAGCTTCTATCGCAAGTTGAAGATGCGTCCCCCCTGCGTCGCCCCTGGCACCATGCCCGTCGCCCTGCGCATTTGAGTAGCGCAACGGTTAACCTGTTCCTGTTCGAGCCCTGGTGGGAAAATTGAAACTTTTTTGAATTTAGGGCATACTTTAAGATGTCTTCTTTCCGAAAATGCCCGACCCATCTCAAAAATCGCATATTTAGTCGGAGAAATAGTGAACTACAATTAGCGAGGCAGAGATTCCGGCCAGCTCCGTTGCGAGTCCATTACCCCTAGTCTCATGTTGCAACAATCAATTTAATGAGTAGCTGAGCGATCTCTCGGCAACGAAATTGGTGGTCTAAAATTCTTCTCCGAGCCGGAAAATTCCTTCGCTCAATGCAGTAGTCTGTGAAACTATCGTCAGGAAAGCGAAATGTCTACTGCCATGTCTTTGGCCCATATTTCCGTGAGGGATTCGTTTGAAGGGTTGTTTACGAAGAAAAACGCCATATGATGGTGAGCGGTTTGTTTTTATTCTCGATTCGCGACACCGTCATGCCTCCGGAGACTCGAGGATCTTCAGACACGGCGGCACACAGAAGCAGTGCGCTGCAGGCGACTACCCACCGACTCGGCCGCGCTGTGCCAAGAGAGACCAGTACATAGTTGTAAAACACCGACCTCCGTGCGCTGCACTCTCCATTCAATCGAAATTTCGTTGACGTTTGTGCTGCACATCAATAAAATTTCGTTCAGGAGCCTCACAGATTTGTCAAGACGACAGTGATAATGATGTTTCTAAAACAAGTAAAAATGCTCTGCCAACTCAACTGTGTACGCAGTACACTCTTTAGCGTGTACTAACGAGTACACTCTCTTCATCGTGTACTGACGAGTCGAGTTCACATTCTACAGCGTGTGCTCAAGAGCACACTCCCACGAGCGTGTAATAACCAAGCGGTTACCCACTCTGGTAATCGTGTGTACACTTCGTTCAGTAATCATTGGTAATCACACACCAAAACTGGCTAGTTTCGCCGTTTTCATCGGATTTGGGGGGTTTTCCTTATGAAATGAGGCCAAAATTCTCTTCGCTGGCCAAAATTATGGAGTTTTTTTTAGTATGTTTGTAGGTAATCACTGGTAATCAGTAATCCTGTGTACACTCCAGAGCTGAGTGGTCAACCCCTCGGTACTAACTGCATATACTTCCAGGATCTGGGCACACTCTCGTTAGAGTGTACTCATCTGAGTATACTTGCGAGTACAAGCGGAACGGAGTGTGCTGAGCACACTGTTGAGTTTGCAGAGTGCGTGTTATTGCTCATTTGTGCACAAACGTTTAAGTTATTATGCAAAAGCTCACGACGAATGTGAGAGTGCACCATTTGGCTGACTTGCCTGGGCCGTCAGGCCGGTGTTGGTGCCACCCGAAGACTTGGGGGTCCGTGGCGACTGTGCCGTGCCCGGGGCGAGTCTCTTGCCGACGGCGTCGTCGGGGGGCGCGGTGGCGGCGGGCTGCGCGGTGGCGGCCGCCTTGTCGTCGGCCTCGATGGGCCAGGGCGGCGGCCCGTCGAACGGGCCCTCGACCAGGGTGTTGTTGACGACCCTGGCGCCGCGCCACGTGTGTATCTTGTCGTCCTCGTCGTCGGGCACCCTGACGCCGGTGATGACGGGCACGCCCTCGTTGTCCACGAGCATCTGGGACTTCTTGGTGTCGCCGGCGCGGCCCCTGGCCGGCCGCTGAGCGCGGCCGCTCTTGCCCAGGCGGCCCGTGGCGTTGGACGGCCGCCGCGACTGGACGATGCCGTGCGCGCTCAGCGCCGCGTGCGCCGGGCTGAGGCTGATGCTGCGGCCGTGCCTCTTCACCACCAAGGAGACCACCTCGCCGGTGCGGGTGGGGACCTGCGGGCAGCACACTCTCAGCACGTTACTCACTTTTTCCTCATTAATTACGTATTCGTATAAGCAACACTTAAGTACACTGCAGGAAATAACCACAACAAAAGTACACAAATTTCTGGCAAATTTTTTTGTCAGGAACACTGTTAAAAAAAAATTCTGAAAATTCAGACTAAATGAACTGAAGAAAATTTCGCAAAAGGCACTCCTAATTTTCAGACCAACTTTTTCAGAAACATGCGGTCTGAAAATTCAGACCTGTGAATTCAGACCACAAGTCTGAATATGTATTAAGACCTCAAGTCTGAATTGATATTAAGACCGCTGGACTCTGAAATTTAGGAATTCGGTGAGCTTAAAATTGAGATGTCTTATTTCTTAAAAAAGGGCTTCCTGGTCTGAATTTGCTTTGAGCAGTTCACTCCCATACCCCTCGCCTCCCTCTTTGTGCGCAGTGCGGGGAAGGTAATATATAAGAGTTGATCCAACCAATGCTTTAAGAAGGATGAAAATTGCTGTGGCTAGTAAAAGTCAATTTTGTAACCTTAAGGAACTGTCAAGTGAAACTTGCATGTCCTAGAAATATATGTCACAGGGAGTTCATTTTGAGGTCAAAACTCCACCACTATTAGATAAATTTATTCGCAAAGTTGGGGACTCCAACTCTTATTAGTTTCTGAGTTATGGAGGTTTACGTAAACTTTTAGTCGTTTCCTCCAAATTCTTCTCACGACAAAGGATTAGCTACCCTGTCTTTAGATTCTGGCAATTATATCTATTTTTGCATATGAAGAAGAAAGAGTCGTCAAACTTGAAAAAAAAGTCCAGAAGAGGCAGTAAAAGCTAACTTATCAGGCCCACTTTTATTTTTCTTCAAATTTAAAAGATTTTGCCTTATTATTGGTTTATGGTTTTTCAGGAAAACTAAGGGAGATATTTTTAAAAAAAGCAACACTCTCTATTTTCTTTGCAAAAATAGATGTAATTACAAGAATATGAAGACTGGGTAGCTAATCCTTTGTCGTGAGGAGAATTTGAGAGAAACGACTAAAAGTTAACGTAAACATCCATAACTCAGAAACTGAAATAAGGTGGTGTACAACTCTTAGTGCATGAGTTAATGCAATGGAAAGGAACTTTATAAAGTCACTTTGGTTACTTTAGTCATTATAACCATAAATTTCTTTGCTTATCATTGCAAAATCAACTCAAACCTTGGTTGTAACAATTAACTCACTGTGGCAAGCACACGATCCAACACGCAACGGTGCACACGAAGTGAACGCATCAGATTCGCCCAACCAGAAGTTTGAACTAATATCCGATGAAGGCACTTTGGGGACGAGTGTGAACGGGGAGAGGCGAATAACTTAGAACACCTCTCGCCCTCTCACCGCCCGCCCCCTCAGTTTCGGGAGATGCGTAAAGCGAGCGCAGAGTCACTACAGCGTCAAGAAGGGTCATCAGCAGAAAACACTTCGAACTAAAATGCACTTCTTTCCGTCGACATGACTTCAGCGCGCCGAGCGAGTGGACCAGACGCAAGTTAAACGCGATGTGTGCACCTTGGAAGACTGCTGGAGACTGATGTTTAGTTTTGCGTGCAGGGCGCCGGGTCGGCCAAAACTTTCCGAGTTGCCGACGGATTAACGCTCCCCTCCTTGCCGAGCCAATCAGAGGGCGCCTCCAGCCGGCCCTGCCTCGCCGGACTTTCCGAGAATGCACCGGCGGAGACAGTCCTGAGGCCGCTGCACAGGGCTCGGCTCGGTGCTCGGCGCTGCTCGGTGCCGAACGAACTCAGCCGAACAATTCCGAGACAAACTAGATCGCTTTCGGGCCTACTAGCTTAGCTGGTCAAGGTGCTGCCAGAGCGCTATAAAGAGGGCTACTCTGGGGCTCAAGGTGCTACCTTCGGGGCAGTCCGATTAAGGCAGCGTATATAGAGAGAGAGGGCAGGAGTCAGACGAGTCGGGCAGAAAATTAAGACCGGACGCTGAATTCTACTTTCAGACTCGCGGGGCAAATTATTAATCCTTGTCAAGTCTGAATTTTCAGACCGCCACGTCTGAAATTTTTTTCAGACTACAAAGTCCGTATTTTTAGACCTGCGGTCCAAATATTAGGACTCTAGTCTGAAAACGAAATTCAGACGGACAAGTCTGACACTTTCGGTCTGAATTTTCAGAATTTTTTTAACAGTGAAAAGTTGTCATTTTGTGGATCGGAGCTGTGTGGACTTCGCTTGAAGTATTTCCCGTTTTCAACAAAATTTAGACCGTCGAAGGGGTCCAGTTTAGTTATATCTATACTCCTTGGGGATTTTCTGCTATACTGCTGGGACTTACGCCAAATAACTCGGTGAAATAATGTAAAACACTCTGAGGCACATTGAAAAACATATACCTACTCAATGTCAAGATAAGTCAAGTTATTCCTTCTTCCGCTTCCTGGGTCAACGCATGCCTTGCGAGTATTACGTCACATTAATTGAATAACTGTGATGAAGGTTAATCACTGTAAAGCCAGTGGTAAGTTTTCTTGCCACAAATTTGGAAAGCTTTTTCGAATGCCAAAACTTTACACGCTTTGAACAGAAATCTTCAAAAGCTGGCCGGCTGGGGAGTATTTCCGAGCCAAGCTTACCAATTTTCGGCATTCAAAACTGCTACGAATAACTTGTAATGACGTTACACTCGTCGAGTAACTTATAATGACGTCACATTCGTCGAATAACTTACAATGACGTCACATTCGCGTCGAATAACTTATAATGACGTCACATTCGTTGAATAACTTATAATGGCGTCACATGCGTTGAATAACTTATAATGACGTGACATTCGTGGAATAACGTAAATGACGTCACAATTGTGGAATGACTTGTAATGGCATCACATTCGTAAATAACTTGGCGTTACATTCGTCGAATAACTCATAATGGCGTCACATTCGTCATTAATAACTTAAAATGACGAGACATTCGTTGAATGTCTGCGATGACGCCCACCGTGATGGTGTCGTAGTCCTCCGGGCTGCCCGTCTCCTTGGCTATTTGGATGGCGGCTTGGGCGGCTTGACCGGCTTGGCTTTTGGCCTTGGCCTGGAAGTTGGCGCCCTTTCGCTCAGGGCGGACGCCTTGTGCCGTGCCGGTGACGCCCAGGGCGTCGGCCCAACATGCCTGCAGCACCACCAGCAGCACCACTTGCGGAAAGAGGAAAACCTAGTCTTAGACACTGTGAGAAAAACTAGGTTCACTGCAAGAAGAAAAAGTGAAGAGTTCACCAAAGGTACAACAAAAACATTGAAAGAAATGTCATCCCTGCTTTAAAAAACGTAGCCAGAAATTGTTGCAGGTTTGTTGCGGCTTTTCCTACCCGCTCAAAATTCTATGGAAAATGCACACTCTCAGCCTCCAATTGACTTCATCATCAGTGGTCAGGTTCGAAAGGCTACAACAGTACGATGTACTGTTTTCTTCCTGAACGTGACATCACGTTGAAACGAATGTGACAAATGTCTCGTTCCTTTGAGCATTGTGTCACATTCGCTTAGATGTGAATCAGCCATTAAAGTAGCTTTTTCAAATTCAAACGAATGTAACACAATGCTCGAGAGACGTGACATTTTGTCGCATTCATTTCAACGCGATGTCACATTCCTAAACTGAGAGTGTGAAGGACAAAATTTCCACATTGTGCGCAAGTAAAAAATGTACCTAATTTATGTACACAAACTTGTACAACTTAAGTTTGCACAAAAACGTCTCTTTACTTACGTACAAAAAGTCCACAAGCGTTTAGAGTCGGACGCGCTTCTTTTTTCTCATCTCTTGGCCGAAGCCAGCCGGTCCGCGGCGGACGCGGGGCGGCCCCCCTGGTGCCGAGCGCGCCGAGACTCTGCTGCATTTGTCGCAGTCGCCAAGGCGAGGCGCGGCGTGGCGTGGCTGGGAGGGTGGGCGCCGGGCGTCGCTGTGCCGCCGCTATCGCTCAGTATGACGTCATCGCAAAGCGCAGCGCCGTCAGGTCTAGCCTTACCAGTGCTAGGGGGAGAACAAAACGAAGAAGAAGGCTTTTGCGCATGCGTTGACCCCCTCCATACTCATCCTCCTATTTCTGAGCAAATTTGGATAATCGCACATACTGCTTTAATGTTTTTGGGCCACCCAAGTGACTTTAGTCTCCAAACAGCGGGGTATGAAGAAAGAAAATGCCGTATTTTGAACACATTCATCTCCTTCGCGTAAGAGAGGGTGTGACAGTTGAGTTCGAATGGCATTTAGAAACAAACACCCACATGTACGCGAGATTGCGAATTACGCAGTTGATTGTGTACGCAATAAATTAGTGGGAACTCCTGAAGGAAATGTGAGTATAAACCGTCTTTTAAAGAATGCTATTGGTTTCTAATTAACACAGGTTGAGAAGAGGGTGAAAATTCCAGATTATGTTACGAACCGACCCACCCTCCCTTAATTCGTTTCTTTTATTTTACGACCAGCAAACCAAATCAAGTAAACATCAAGAAAACAAGAAATGTTTCACGTGCTCACTTAATGTTCACGTACTTTTATTGCCCGTAGTTATTGCCATATTTGATCATACAAAATGATTGCGGACTTCACGCAAGACAGCTTCGGGGGCGCCAAGCGCTCTAGAGTGGCCACCCGTCCCGCACTGAGATACCAAAGGATATGAACGTAGCACGTTTGGTGCAATGCCACAGCCATATTGCACCTTACGTACAATGCTTCCCTATAAAGCCCTATGCTAATGCATTGGGGAGGCATTGCACTTCATGTGCAATGTAAAAGCATTGCACTTCATGTGCAATGTAAAAGCATTGCACCAATTGACGCTATATTCGTATCGTTTGGATTCTCAGTGCGGACTGTGGTTACATCAGCCTACACGGTAGAAACGGAACCTGGTTTTCCCAGGAACTCCCTGGAAATCGCCTATGTCTCCACCATAGGCTTCCTGGGAAAACCAGGTTCCGTTGTTACCGTGTAGCTGAGGCTAGGCTACGCATTTAAATCCATGATTCGTAGAAGCAAGACCGCCAGGAGAGACGGCAGTAGAATGGTGGCGACGCCCGTCGCTCGGCCCGCGGCACCTTTGGCCTTGGCGGTCGTGGTAGCCACTGTAGTGGTTGTGATGGTTGTGGTGGTCCTCGGTGGGGGTCGCGTGGGCGGCCCCTCGGTGGGACGCAGTGTAGGCGCCGTGGGCGGACTGACGGGCCCCGTGTCGGTGGCCGCGAACAGCCACTGCGACACCTCGGCGTAGTGCCTGCGGTTCCACTCCAGACCTTTCCTGGTGGCGTCCAGGAGCTGCTCAACCTTGGCGGCCATGGCGGGGTCGGGGTAGGTCTTGGCCATGAATCGGTCAATCTGATGGAGACGGAAATTTCCATTATGTGCTCGTGCTTTATGGTTTGGTATACTGCAAACCTGTCATCTACAAACTTACAAATGCATACGTGTAAGTTCACGCTTACAATTGCATACTTGCAAAGTATACTTGGTGCCAAGTATACTTGGCGCAGTTGAGTGTGCTTTACAAGTATGCATTTGTATGTTTGTACTTAGTAGAAAGGTAGTTTCGTAGTGCGTTCTTTTGGTAACCAGCTCAACTAATTCGGTATCTGGACGACACTTGCCTCTACTAGTTCATCCTCCGAACGCGCATCTTTGATAAGGGCGGTTAGGAGGCTGAAGAAGAAGCCACTTCCAGCGCTGAATGGAGAAAACTTAAGTTAGTGGGAGCGGTCGCAGTTACACAACATAACCATCATCATCGGACAAGTCTATATTCTCACTCTGCTCTCGAAATGTCTTAATAAAGGAAATGACATACGTTTAAGAAAGTTCCCATTGAAGGGAACGGTGCAAGCATAATACGAACGTAGTTTGTCTTTGTATCTTACGATGAAAATATAGAAAAGATTCATACTATGGGGAAACTCTGCTTCCTATTGTGCTTGCGCCGAATTCGTTGTTAGATTGCTGTAATTTCATGGCAAGACATTTAAATTGTACTCACAATGACTCAATTTCGTAGCTTCTTTTCTGGAAGTATGCTAGCATGAATTTGTGGTTGTCCCACTGGCTGAGGATGGCGTTAATGAGGACCCTCAAGTCCGTTGCAGTCGGCCGCGGATACCCCTGACCGTTAAGGATGCTGTCTAAAAGGCTGGTAAAAAAAAGAAAAAAAAAGAAAACGGGAATTAGCAGGGGTACACACCAATAAGTATAACAACTTTGAAATTTTAATTTTTTTAAAAAGATTTGAAAGTGGAAGTGCCCAAGGCCTAAGAGTGTTTTTGAAGTCGGTGGGGCGTCGAGTATGAGACAGGGGGACTTTTAAACCTTAAAACCCTACGAAGTATTTTGAGCATACATGCATACATACGTACAAACTAATTTACTTTGTTATACGAAGAAATATTTCGTAAATTACGAAGTATTTTCTTTAAAAGCTTATGTATGCTCAAACTACTTTGTTTTAACAAACTGCCTTGCTTTGTAAGGCCTGAAGTTGTTTGGAAGGTCTTATCAGTGTGTGACTGTGACATTAACTGCCCTGAAAATTCAAGTGAGTACTGAACACACTGAGGACTTATAAGTTTTCTGAAAGTGAAGCGCCACCCCTGATACCTCTCGAGAGAGCCGTAGCCCCGAGTGCAAGCGAGGGCCGCGGCGTACTGCGCCTTCTCTGTGGACACCTTGGCCGACATGTACATCTCCAGGATCCTGGCGCTAGTGCGGGCCGAGTTCTGCACGGCGTAGCAGAACGCAGCGTCCCTGGTGTCCGCAGGGGCTCTGCAGCAAAGGGAAAATGGGGTGATTTGTCAGCATCCGCATTCTCGCCGAAAGATCTGCAAATAGTAAATACGAGCATTGACACGTCGCGCTACTACATGGTAGCTGTGCGCCAGACCGTGGCCGTCGTAAGAGACAAGAGACTTCGCGATGCACAGTGGGCCAGAAGACCGGAGGGCGGACAAAGCTCCAGACACATTTTGAGCTCCAGAGTCGCTCGAACCGAATGTGTGACCCCACCAATGGATGCCTCGTTCGGAGAAAAATCCATTGGTGATCAAAGCTCCGATACTTATTGCATGGGCGTGACAACAATGTCGTTGTTTAGATGACATTCACTGAGAATGAAAAAGTAATGATCAATACCCAATTTTGGGCGAGGTTTACTACCCAAATTTGGGTGAGGAAGGGTGGATCAGCTCCCTATATAGCTCCATAGTAATGTGACCCAAGTTTGGGTAATAAAGAATTCCTCACCCTAAATTTTAGTCATGATCATGATTCTTTCAATCTGTGTTGTTGTAAGGAAAAATAGCCTTGAAATTGTCATCAAGTGACGACTCAAATTTTCTCAGAGTGTACCGGTGTGTACCCCTCACCGAGAGTAGTCGTGTTGCGCCGTTTGGACGGCCGCCTCGGCCCCCCGGATGCACTTCTCGTTGCCGCCGTAGCACGCCTGGCTGGCGACGAGGCGGCGCAGGTAGCGCTCCTCGTCCTTGGCCGTGTCCTCCACGGACGGCGAGCGCTCGGCCTCGAAGCCCACGGCGTCGAACGCGTCGGCGGTGATCTGCCGCACGAAGGCCCTGAGGGCCTGGGCGGCCTCGGTGATGGCCAGCCGGTCCCTCAGGAAGGCGAGCGCCTGGATGCCCGCCTTCCAGGCGGCGGCCGACCTCTCGGCCTTGAGGGCCTGCAGCAACGGCAGCGCCGCCCCGTAGGCCAGCCGCCCCGCGCGGGCCAGCGCCAGCGCGTCGTGCACCAGCTGGGCGCGCGTCGACGCCGGCAGCGAGGACGGCGAGGACAGCAGCGCCTGCTGCAGCAGCCGCCAGTTGGCCGGGTCGTAGTTGACGAGGTAGTAGCCTGCAGAAATATACGCTCTGAATTCCTTCGTACAATTTTTGAGAGGGAGACTGGGGCACCTCATGATGCCTTTTTGTAGGAGTTTGGGTCTGGACTTCAAAATTTCTACTTGATGAATATGTCTAGTCAGGAAACATAAGTTGTCCTCAACCTTAGATTACACTGCTAATCCAAGTGTGGACCAAGTTCACGCTAGAGAACGTGGACCACGAATGGTCCACGCTTGGAAACGTAGACCAAGCTGTGGTCCACACTTGGGAGGGAAGCTGGCCTATGAGGAGTCAAACGCTGTGAAGCGTGGACCACAACTTGGTCCACGTTTCCTAGCGTGGACCATTCGTGGCCCACGTCCTCTAGCGTGGGCCACCGTGCTGCGTGGACCTGATCCACACTAGGATTAGCAGTGAACCCGTTGATAAAATCAAAAATATGTCATATGGAGCAATGTCCTATTTTGGGCACCTCTGCAATTGACATTAGCCGGGGCTCCGGACGCGGGCGAGTATTCTCTGGGAGAGTGGACGGCTATCGAACATAATGTTTATGGTCCATGATAAATCAACCCTGCACTGCGAATCCAAACGCTATGAGTATAGCGTCAATTGGTGCAATATGCAAAAGCATTGCACATGAAGTGCAATGCCTCTCCACTCCCATGCATTGGCATAGGGCATTTTCGAGACGCACTGCACGTTGCACGTAAAGTGCAATATGGCTGTGGCATTCCACGTACGGTGCGATATCTCATTGCACCATACGTGCTTTACTCATAGCGTTTGAAATCTCAGTGTGTTTTTAACCTCTCCAGAAGAGTCAACTATGCACACTCTTTTGAAAGCTGAGTTGCGCTGCGAGACACACCGGTTTGCTGGGGGTTGACCGCGATCCACTCGTTGGCGCTGGCGGCGATCTCGAGGTCCGCGATGGTCGGCGCGTCCGGGGTCAGCCAGCGGGCGGGGGCTGTCTTCGTCCAGTCGCCGGTGCTGGCGGTCACCACTTCCGGGATGGGCACGTACCAGAGCATCGCCTGCTCATCGTCCGGAGTCCCGTACAGGAACTGCTCCTGGGTGATGGTGGCAGTGCCCCGCTCCGCGTTCCGGGTGACTGTCACCACGGGGACGCCGGCCTGCTCCGTCCACGACCTGGCCATGGTGGCGAAGTCCGCGCCGGGCGGCAGCGAGGGCCCCGAAAGTGCCGCCTCTGCGTTCATGGCGCGGAAGAGGAGGTCGGGGGAGCCGGAGCCGAACGCACTGCGTGAAAGAGGAGGTTAGTGTAGAGTGTAGCCAGGAACACCTTTATTTAGCACCTTCGCGCCGAAGTGAGATGAAAGGGATGGGAAATCGCGGCAAGGGACGAGAACACACTGAAAATCCAAGTGTGGGACAGGCATGCACTAGATAACGTGGGACAAACTGTCCCACGCTTGTAAGCGTGGGACAAATCCGTGTCCCACACTTGCAAGCGTGGGACAAACCGTGTCCCACGCTTGCAAGCGTGGGACACTTTGTCCCACGTTATCTAGTGCATGCCTGTCCCACACTTGGATTTTCAGTGCACAGTTCTCGCAATGGCGTGAAGGTGTTAAGGTCAGTTGGAGTTAGTTTGGGACACGTGGTTCGAATGAGTCAGCTGTTTCCTAGACAAGATTTGAAATTGTAGCCCTTATGCCATACCAAATGTTGTACTTGTAAAATGTAACCATTACATTTATAACAGTAATGGGTCTAAAATGTCAAATCTTGCTCACGGGCAGGCGCGGTTTAACGGGGAGGGCGAAGGGGCGATAAACTGGGGACAAACTGTCCCATTTTTACCCTCCGTTGTGGTTTTCCGAGTTTGTTTCTGCTTGCCGTTTTTCAAAACAGACTGTTTCTACTTCTTGTGGAAAAGCAAATTAACTTATTAAAACTTATCATTAACACAAATTAACATTTTAAATGGTTGATATTGAGATACTTAGGACGAAAAGTTCGAATTGATTAAAAGTTACAAGCTTTGCGATGGCGCGGCTGTTCTACGGCCCTCCGAAATGATCTGCGCTCTTCTCCATGGGCTTACTTTTCGGACAGGTAACGGTTTATGGCCTTCTTGAACGTTGTCGTTCCGAGGATGTGTTCGAACATGCGGAGCACGGATCCACCTGCGAACGAATTTAAAAACTTCTTTAACATCTGAACGTAAGATGGATATTAACTTTGCTAGTGAAAAGAGCTGCCAGCTGTCGCCAAGTTATGAAGGAGGAACGATTAGTTTGGTTCCGATTCGAATCAGGCATGCAAGATTGGGTTCGATTCGGAGTTGAATTTGTGCAGTCTGGTCTGAAATTATTCGAGCGAATCCTTGGTGAGTGGAAAGATTAGGGAAACAGTCATAAAATGGCAGAAATGTTATCGGCATCAAATCGTTAACTTCGATTTAATTTTGCAACTTTTTACCTGATTCAAATTTGATTAGGTAACTTATTTCCTGACGAGATTCGAATTCGATTCGAAAGTAGTTAAAAACTCCATTCGAAATGGATTTTAAACGAAAATCCTTGACTAATACACCCCTTGATATGGGCAGGTTTGATAGGTTCCGTAGTTTACTCGCCTTTCTTGTACGAGATGTGGTCAAACTTGTCTGCAATGGCGCCTGTGGTAGTCACAGGGCTCGACATGGCTACCTGACCGGGCAGAACGTCGTTCGCAATCGCCGCGTGCACGTTGTCGGTCACAAATTTGTCCATGAGGTTCCATTCTGGGAAAATCTGTGCGGAGCAGACCATCATGTGATGCGTCAGCATTTTTAATCGCCCCTAATGTCATTAAGGGGGCACACCAGTGAAAATCGTCAAATTTTGGCCTTCTTTTTTATTTTATCTTATTTTTCTGCTATTCATCCCGAGTCGAACGCCGCAAACCCCACCGCAAAATTCCAATTACTTTGGCTTGTGCACATTTTTAAAGTTGCTAAAAAGGTAACTTTTTTGCATATTTTAGACCAATTGTTAACGTTTAGGTTTTTCACTCGAAGTTCAATTACAAAACCCCTGAACCACCCAAACACACTTAAAAAGAGGAACATTTTGGCGCAAACGGAACTAAAATACGTCAAAAGGCACATTTATAATCCGAAAAAACACGTCAAATCTTTGTTTCTACTTAAAGGGCTTTTTCTCAAAACGCCTGTTTTGTACCTTTGTGCCACTCTCACGGGCGCAAAAATTGAGATAATTAAATGCGGTTTGCGGCAAAATGTTTGTTTTAATTGCGTCTATGGTCTGAACCTCGGAAATGGCCATCCGATAAATAAGACGTGACCAGCAGCCAAGAAAGCACGAAAAAATTGGTTAAAAAATTTGTTTCTATTTTTGCTCTTTGAAAAAACAACTTTAAAATCATTACTCGCGCTGCTCGCTGGGGGCTCCGCCCCCAGACCCCCGCATGTGTGGAGCGCGTGCCGAAGTATTTTCAGTAAGTCCGTGGTGACCAAAGGCAAATTTTCTAAGGAAGTAAATGTCCTGCTTCTTTGAAAGCTCTATTTAACCGCTTTTGACCTTATAATAAGGCTACTTTTACTGCCCAAATAGATAGCTTGTATTGCATTGGCTACTGTGGCAGTCAATGGGTGCATACAAGGTCCGGAAAATATTGAAGACTGCTTTGACAAGGATAGAGGTGAAAGGAAAAAAACCTTGGGTCTCTACGACCACTCCTTGACCCCAAACATTTCTTTGAGTCAGTAAGTGAGTGAGTGAGTCAGTCAGTCGGATTGGGGCTATATAGATTCTTGATGATGATTGCCCAATTGCCGGTGGTGGGGTCCCGATTACGGCACAGTTTCGGAAATTCTCGACCAGACCTACCGATGAGGCGAATAAAAATTTTTAGTCATTCGGTCCCCTTTTTAGAAGATTAAGTAGGTTTGCTCGGAAACGGTGAGAAATTTTCAACTTTTGGGATATTTCCCTATTTTCCCATTAAATTTGGAATCGAATGGAAAAAGCCGCAAGTCTCTACGACTACTCCTTGACCCCAAACATTTCTATGAGTGAGTGAGTCAGTGGATGAGTCAGTGAGTTGGATTGGGGCTATATAGGTTCTTGATAAGTGAGGGAGTCAGTCAGTCGGATTTTGCGGCTATGTAGGTTCTTGATGATAATTGATGATTGATTTTGAGTATGTTGCCGGTGACGGCGACCCGATTGCGGCACAGTTTCGGAAATGTCTCGACCAGACCTACCGATTGGGCGAATAAAAATTTTTAGTCGGTCGGTCTCCTTTTTTGAAGATTGAGTGGATTTTGTTGAATTTAGGCCTATTTAATCGTTTTTGAGGATGTTGCCGGTGACGGGGACCCGATTGCGGCACAGTTTCGGAAATGTCTCGACCAGACCTACCGATGGGGCGAATAAAAATTTTTAGTCGGTCGGTCCCCTTTTTTGAAGATTGAGTGGATTTTGTTGAATTTAGGCCTATTTAATCGTTTTTTGAGGATGTTGCCGGTGACGGAGACCCGATTGCGGCACAGTTTTGGAAATGTCTCGACCAGACCTACCGATAGGGCGAATAAAAATTTTTAGTCGGTCGGTCCCCTTTCTTGAAGATTGAGTAGGTTTGCTCGGAAACGGTGAGAAATTTGTTCCCCTTTTTTGTAGATAAAGTAGGTTTTCTCGGAAACGGTGAAAAATTTTCAACTTTTGGGATTTTTCCCAATTTTCCCATAAAATTTGGAATCGAATGGAAAAAACCGCAAGTCTCTACGACCACTCCTTCACCCCAAACATTTCTATGAGTGAGTGAGTGAGTGAGTCAGTGAGTGAGTCAGTCGGATTGGGGCTTTATAGGTTCTTGATTTTTGCATGCCCGTGGTTCAGACCATAGCCACATGTGTCCTGTTGAGAAATTTTCAAATCCCGTGCTCGAGGCTCAATCCAGAGAGGCGCAATCGTGGCAGGAGTGAGGCAAGGCCGCAGAAAAATGCAGTGGACTGGCGCTCCGTCTTGCCATCGCAACCCCGCCCTCCCATACTGATTTTTCTTTTCTTTGATATAATTTTAAGCCAAGAATAAAATATTAATCGAATACATAGGTTACTTTTCTCAGAATGATCGTTTTTCGAAACCTCTGCATTTTCACTGGTGTGCCCCCTTAAAATTTCTAAAATAGAAGCACAAGTAAATACGTAGTTGAGCGTCTGGACGCTTTCACTAAATTTGAGACAGATGTTAAGTAGGTTCATCTTATTTTCTTCAATGTCGGGCCCACTGCGAAAATTTGTTAGAAATATGAAATCTAGCTTAGGGAGGATCAAAATTTTACATTTTAAGTCACGTTTTATCCTCGAAAGTCAAAGAGCCAGTATGATGTAAAATTTGAGTCTAAAAAGCTTCATATTTGTACTCAGTGGGACCCATTTTAATGTGGGACCCATTTTAATGAAAGAAGGATTTCCACTGAATGCTGCAATTATAGTCTCGCCTAATGCTCATGCGTCACCTTGTCACAGATGACGTTCTCGAAGTAAGTCGCGAAGCCTTCGTTGAGCCAGGTGTTGGACCACCAGTCTAGGGTGACCAGATTTCCGGTCCATTGGTGTCCAAGTTCGTGGCACACGGTGGTCGCGATGAACTCTCTGATGCGAATCGATGTGTCCTCAGTCTCCAGCAAGTAACTCTCCCTGAGACCGACAATGTCTTCGGTTTGAACAAGCATGCGTTGTATGTATAAAAACCAAGTAAAGACGATGCCAAAGCGTAAAACCCCCAGAAAATGTTACAATAATGTCACATGACAAGAGCCCAGATGACATCATTTCCGACAGTTAGCGTTCTTCGTGGGTTACGAAGGATTTTTTAAATTGTAGATTGATTAATATTTATTCTGTAATACTAACGATTTTGCTTGAAATTGTGAACGATTTCCTTCGTAGGTTGAGATAAGCAGAAACAAACTCCAAAAAATTTGTGCAGCAAAATTCCAAGAACAATCCTATAAATTTTGGTAAAACTTCTTGAAATTCGATGAAATTTATAGATATTCATCGTAAATCAGTGAAATTTTCTCAAGAAAATTTGACTAATTCGTGTGGAATTCCAGGCGTTTCCCCCTCGGCTGGAAAACCGCTGATCTCCTTAGAAGGATCGTTCTTTGTACGACTTTATCTATGTTCCTGGTTCCAGGCAGACCGCCAGTGGCCGTGCGCGCCAACCATACTTGAACGTCACGAGCCCCCAGTTCTCCATGGCGCCGGCCTCGAAGTCTGGAATGGCGAACTGGTCGACCTTGGGCAGGGCGTACGGGATGCCCGTGAGCTCCTCCAGCAGCTGCAGAGCCTTCGGCCCCACCGTGTTGGCGAGGTAGGCGGAGCGCGGCGACAGGAGGCTGCTCCTGCCCCACGTCCTGAAGTTGCCGGCCGCGTCGGCGGCGATGTTCTCCAAGTCGGAGACCACCCACGCGAGGAGGTAGGTGGACATGGGGAGAGTCTCGTCGAACTCCGTGCGAGCGATGGCTAAGGATCTTGAAAAGACAATGCAAATCATTCCGATAAAGTACATTGTTGTACGTCAATAAAGGCACTCTCGTAGCTCACAGAAACACTCTAGTTTGCAGAGTCTTCGATTTCCTTATATAAGACCGATGCAGATGTACTACGCGAAAGTCTATTAGAGCTACGCGAACTGTTGATTGAGACCTATGAGTACGTCTTACATCAACTGATGTTCTGAACTGCTCAGAGTCCAACCTAAATCTCCGTTAACGCATTTGGCGGGACCTGACTCTGAATTTGGTGTTGCAGTGCAACAAGTAAGGAACGTACATGTTGTTGCGGCTGATCTCGGGCATGTTGGACTTGGCGGAGAGGCTGCGATCGTGTTCAATTAAGATCTTGAAGCGCGCCTTCAGAGAGGGCTCGTCGAAACACGGGAAGGCGTAGCGAGCGGCCGTCGGCTCGAACTGCGTCGTCGCCAGGAAGCTGAATGAGGAAAGACTGAGTCAGGGCCTCTTGATTTTCAAGCGAGTTCCTCGGAAATAAACAAAATATTCAGGGTCGTGGTGGAACCACGGGAGGTATGCGGGTTCAGGTCATTCCACCCGACGTCAATTTGGCTGCTTTGCACTCGAAGAGGTTCTTACGAAGTTTCTGTGTCAGTATGTGACTTGATGGCCACCGACAATTTTATCCGTTCACTTTGCAAATACAAGTCTGAGACTTTTCGGCGTGTCGTGAGACCAATAACGCTTCGTCTATGGTGGCTCCCGTGGTTCAATGCTGCCACAGGGTCGGCGATTGCAAGTGTGGGAGAGACCGTCTGTCACACTTGCAGGTGTGACATTAGGGTAAAGTGCCGAACATGGATCGGGGTACCAAACATGGATCATTTCTGTTTGGGGGTCTATATCTAAAGACCAGGTGGCCAGATTCTAAATTTCTGTCTTTCCTTGCTTAGACTGACCCTTTGACTGTTCGATGTGAATCTGACAAGTTTGCAACTGCGTCTCTCTACTCTGCAGGGTTGCGTTTGGAAAGACACCTAACACAGGCCCCCGAAAATCGATGGAAAAATGACGTTTAAAAAGGTGATTTTTGCACCCCTGATTCTGGGCCAAGCAATCACCGCAGTCACTTCAAAATTTTTCATCGTGCACTTTAGACGGACCACTTTGATATTTTGGGACTACTGAATGCATACCTTGCTTTGTGTCCAAACGCTGGTGGGGTATCCATGATTGGACCACCCTAACCTAACCTTAGCAAAAATAGCCATATTTTCTTGTCCTCACAACTTCCAAAGTATTCGAGCTAGAGGTACCATTTTTGGTAGCCATACGACCAGTGAGGTAAACATCAACATAAGATTCAAAAATAGTAGTCAACCCATACTTAATTTCGATCTAGAGAAGATCATTTAAAATGTGATCCATGTTTGGTAACCTTACCCTACATTGTCCCACGCTTGCAAACGTGAAACGTGAGCCATTTTGGTTATCCCTTGTCCTACATTTGTATCGCATTGAACTCTGCTGAACAGCTCGGGATCACGTTCGTCAGCAGAACAACAGAGAGAAAAGTCCGTGACACCGACATGACTCATCCGCAAGAACACTTGAATGCCGGTGAGAACACTCACTGTGTGTGACGATCGTGGTCCATGTAGGTGGACAAGTAGAAGCCCTTGAGGTCCGACCTGAGACGGGACCCGAACAGGGGGAAGCGCAGCAGGTAGTGCTGGCCTGCCACCAGCTGCCTCTCCAGGTCCACCACGAGGCGGTCGGCATCGTCATAGCGGCCCAGCGGAACGAACCTGGCCTCGCCGTTCCTGCGGATAGGGGAGTTGGCGTTGACTTGCACTGAGGCACGAATAAACTAGCTCGTAACTTGAAGACCAGGTAAGCTCAGGATCTATTGCGAAGACGGTCTGCCTCTGTTATCAGAGTTCCACCACTTTCAAAACTACACACTAAACTTCTTACGGATACATCCTATCTGTATTACGGACATTTTTGTGCAATTGCAATTACGGATAGATTTTGCTTGTAATACAAATGATTTTATCCGTAATACAAAGGTTTTCGTGTCCGTAACATACAGACGAAAATATCCGTATGGTACGGACGTAAAACTCTTTGTAATCCGGATGATTTCATCCGTATTACAAGCAAAATCTATCCGTAATTGCAATTGCACAAAAATGTCCGTAATACAGATAGGATGTATCCGTAAGAAGTTTAGTGTGTAGAACCTGAGATGACATCCCGAGGATTTTCACCACGATTCAGGGGGTTTCTAAGGATGGTCGATAGTTGGGATGAAGAAGGGAATGTTACACTGGTAAAACAAAGATATAAAAATTACGCCCTATAGGGCATAAATACTCTTTTACGCCCTTTCAGGGTCATAAATTGGGCTACATGGACGATCGTAAAGTAAAGAGGATTTTTTCATCTTCAAGATGCCGCAAACCGATTGCCAAAATGTTAAAAACTTCCGGAAAAAAGTGTCGCGCAGTGAAATTTTGTATGTTTTGTCGGCTTTTGTTGCATTCCCTATAACTCCCTTACAACTGAAGACAAAACAAAATATTTTTTTGAAAATGTTCTAAAAATTCTGTACTTTCATTTGGTTTTTACCGTTTGTCTCTGAGAGGTATATTTAATAAATCATCGCCATCAAAAGAGGGGGGGGGAAACCCTAAAATAGGGTACAAGGACGAGACTGTCCCCTTAAAGGACATAATTTTAATGTTGTTTCACCAGTTTAGTGTTACCTCAGCCAGTCTCCATCTACGCCTTCTCTTCAGTTACCTACCCCACCAAACATGTCCAACTTCTACGGTGTGGATCTAAAATGCCACTTACTCATCAAAACGGTTCTGCTCGGCGGAGTACTTGAAGATCTGGACTTGGCTGAACGCGATGTCCGGCGAGCCGTGGAGGACGATGCGGGAGGTGGCCTCCAGCACGTTTAAATAGATGTCCGTCGACCCGAAGAACTCACCACTGGCCAGATTGGGCGCCATGACCACCTGATGAGCGACAATTTGATTTTGTACATAATTTTATAAAGGAAATTTGTCATACTTACTAAGGAAACACTCATTGTTGCTTATACGAATTCGTAATTAATGAGGAAAAACGTGCTGAGAGTGTACCCACTCCACACTTGCAGCGTGGAGACTGCAAACTCTGCACCTTCAAGAGTGTATAGTGCATGCAGTGTTCTCCACACTTGGTTTGACAGTGCAGCACGTGACTGCCGGCGTACCGTGTATCTGGTCGGCACCACACTGGTGGGTAGCCTCGTCTCGTCGTAGACGTCGTCGGCGGCGCGCTTGGCCCTGGTGCCACCGTGCTCCCTTTGACGGGGACCGCGGGCACGCTGCGGCGGCTGAGGGTCCGCCATGCCGAAGGGGAAGCCCTGCGCGCCCGTCACAGTGCCGTCGACGGCCACCTCGGCGAGGGGCTTCCGCGGCGGCAGCACGAAGCCCCGCTGGGCGGCCAGCTCTGCGAGGGGGAGCTCGCTGGAGGCCGGGTGCAGCGGCAAGGGCTGCGGGGCCGGCGCGGCGGAGGCGGCCGCCAACGCCACCAGGACGACGAACAGCGAGCAGCCGTGGCGAGCCATGCTGAGACAAAGGCAATGGGTCCTTCAGACCAGACAACGCACACTCTCATCCTTCAATTGACATTTCATCAAAATTCATTGACGTTTGTGCGCATTAATAGAGTTTCCCTAGGAATTTGTTCAGACCAAATTGATAGCAATGTTATTGTAAAGCAAACAAAGATGTTAATACACTCATTAATTCGCATAAACGTCAATATGTTCTAAAACTAAAACTCAGTACGAGTCTGAGAGTGTTGGTAAATTATCAGTGACCGATCGTCCTGCTTCGCTGTTGCTTTGCTTTCGAAAACTTTTACCTTCTCGGAGCCTTCCTTGGATGGGAAGTGACAGCAGCGGCACACGCGACGTTCCGTTTGCACCTTCCCAAATCCGTGCAAGGTGACTAATAACGCATCGTGCTCCATTGGACCGAGGATAAATAGTGAGCTTTATCTGTCCGAGTGATTATCTGAGACGCTTGGGTGATGGTCAACACGCTGTCGACAGGGGATGAATCAACTACTTGAGTATTTCGAGTGTTCCATGTATGACATAGTCCGATACAGTCATATGCACCCAATGGCAGATCCACGGTTCAGGAGGAGGCTCGGTCCGGTCAGTAGCAAGGTACCGGGAACGCATTTCAAGTAGCAGACCTGCCGTCTGAAAGGCACAAACTATGAGTCAATGTGAGTGAAACATAAGTAGTTCGATTGCCCTTACTCATTACATTAGTATTCTCAGAGGGAATTCGGCGCTTGTGTGTCTGTATGCCGACTGATTTCGTGCATTCGAGCATTCCAGTGTCATTTTATGTATTTCGTTGGCAGTCCCTGCATTTTCGTTGACATATGCGTATGCATTTTGATGTCCGTCGTTACATTATTCCGATCATATTTCTACTTGGATCGATCAACGTCATCACGAGCAAGCGGCCCCAAGCAGGTCCCTCTGACGTTGATATGGCAGCTTTGTTTCTATTTAATCGCTGTTGTCACTCGAATTGGAACAGAACAACCAGAAAAGTTGCGTAAGAGCCCACGATCTGAAATGAGGCAAAAGAAACATTCAGTTAAGTGCACTCATGAGAAACAGCATAAGTTCCCTGCGTCGGACTGGCACGCAGAACACTCTTTTTCCAGGAACGTGACTTCACGTTGAAACGAACGTGACGCATTGTGTCACGTTCGTTTGAATGTGACCAAGCTGATTTTTGGCCAATTCACACCCAAACGAATGTGACACGATGCTCAAACAAATGTGACACACGTTCGTTTCAACGTGATGTCACGTTCCTGGAAAGAGAGTGGAAGGCAGTGGGCCAACATGTCCTCCGCTTGGCAGTGAGTCGCACGGACTGTCTGACACTGCATCCCCCACTGCTGACCGCGCTCATGGTGGGGAAGTCGAAGTACAGCAAGTCGTAGACCCCGCACCGGCAGTCCTGCAGCTGCACCTGGTGGCTGAAGCCTCGCACCTGCAGCACGACGTGAGGCACGACCAGGTTAGGTTAGGCTTGCCGGCAATGCATACTCACTCAGAGAACGGGCAACGTACTTCTCTTCTCGTCTGGTCGGGAATGGAATCGTTGCCCACCAGGAACCCGTCCAGCGTATTCGATATCCTCGAATTCTGAAGAAAACAAGCGAAACAACGCACACGCCTTATTTTCACATGAAGTAAGATGGACGGAAGTTCATGTGGTAACCTCAAAATTAGCCGTCCTCAACACGTGGCACCTCCGGGCTTAACACCATTTCCATTTCCAAACGTGATCTGGATCACTCCAACTGGTGTGGTCAAATGGGTGCCGGTTCGACCGCATCAGTTGGTGCGGTCTAGACCTAGACCACGTTTGGTGCGTTTGGTGTGGCCGTTGCATGGAAAGAAAACACCAAACGTGGTCTAGACCACGTGTGGTTTTTTAGTAATTATGGAGCCACTTTTCATTTGTAATACAAAAAAATTTCTTCGTACATCTACACTTTTTCACACTTAAAACTCTACAGTATTTTGAGCATATGTAAGGTACAAACTATTAAGTTTTTTACACGGTTTCGTAAATTGCGAAGTATTTTCTTTGTCAGCTTTTCTCAAAATACTTTGTTATATCAAGCTACTTTCGTTTGAAAAGCTTAAAATAGTTTGAAGGTTTTAGGAGAGTGCTTAATTCGGTGAGCAATTTATAGTACTGTGTTGAAATTTTCACTTACGTTTCTGCACAATTGTTGGCCCAGGATACAGTGGACGATGAACCTCAGCATGTGGGCGAGGCCCCAGAAGATGGGTGTGATACCAGCCGGTCCAACAGGCCTACCGCGCAGGTACGCGATGCCTACGAACGTGGACACGGCGGCCTCCGTGATGGTGATGAAGAGGCAGCACAGGCTGGCCCCGCCGTGCGCCTGGTTGCTGGCCGCCACCACGTCCAGCAGGACCTGCTGCCGCGTGCGCAGCGCGCGCAGCTCCAGCGCGATGCGGCGGTCCTCCTGGGGACTCATGCCCGCCGCGACCCGGCCGGCCAGGCGGCGGACCTGGTGCTGCACGTCCTCGGCGGCGTCGCGGCCCAGGAAGGCGCACGCCGCCACGACGGCGGCAGAGGCGCTGTCGGCCAGCATCATGTGCAGCGTGGGCGCGAAGTGCGTGCAGACGATGAGGGCCATTCTCGCTGGGGTCACGCCCTGGGCAGAGTCGGGTGTTTGCACCACAGCAGCGTACGGCACATTGGGCCAGAAGACCGGTGGAGGCGGCCGAAATTCATTACGCGTCTTGAGTTGGTCTTGAGTCCCCGAAACGAACGTGTGACCTCATCGACGGATTCCTCTCCGAATGAGTAATCCGTTGGTGGGATCACACGTTCGGTTTGAGTCCTGTTTGCCGACTCTGGAGCTCAAAACGCGTCCGGTACGGTATTGTGGCCCCCTCCACCGATCCTGGGCCAGTGGCACTGCTCCGTAGCGTGAAGCGTTGACCGACGACACACCGACAGGAATGTGGAAACGAAGCTGTACATGGGAAGGAGAATGGAACTCCCCAAGTGCCCCGCCAGCACCAGAGCCATGCCGAGCCATGAGTGGATGGAGGGGCAGCAGCATGCCGTGTACAAGACCAGGCCCTGCACCAGGGCGGCAAGCTCGAAGCGGCGCCGGATCAACATTGCCTGCGACGGAAAAAGAGCGACAAGGCATTATGCTACACTCTCATCCTTCAATCGGCATTTTATCAATATTTATTGACGTTTCGTGCGCATTAATAGTTTCGTTGAGAAGCTTAACAGATTTGCCATGACTAAATTGATGATAATGTTTGTAAAACAAATAAAAATGTCAATACGCGAGTCTGAGGGTGTAAGAAGACACGAGGGGTCCACCACTCAGCTCAGGAGTGTACACAGGACTACTGATTACCAGTGATTATCTACAAAAAATACTCAAAACTTTATAATTTTGGCCAGCCAAGATCATTTTTGACCTATTTTCCCAAAGAAAAAACCCAAATCCGATAAAAACAGCGAAAATAGCCATTTTTGGCCTGTGATGATTATCAATGATTACTGGACGAAGTGTACAGACGATTACACACTAAATGTTTTTGTTCAAATCACAGTTTTTTGAGCACACGAAATTTTCGTACAAATTTGTACAAAATTTTGTACAATTTTCTACAAAAATGGCGAAAAATGTGCAGTTTTTCGTACGAAAATTGTACGAAAATTTCGTGTTTACGAAAAACTGTGATGTCTCGTATAAAATTGTACATAACATTAAGTGGGTACCCGGGTGGTGGACCCCTCAAGAAGACATGAACTATCCGCCTTAGAACGTCGCATAGGGTCAGGGCGGGGAAGAACTGGACAGGGGAAGAACTGGACACCCCATATTTTACTTCAAATACCGGAGGCACAGGAATAACAACTATCAAAAGTTGTTCCGTGGCCTCAGCGATTCATTACACGACAGTTGTCAGGCCAGTACATACGGCATTTGAAGTAAAATGTGGGGTGTCCAGTTCTTCCCCTGTCCAGTTTTTCCCCGCCCTGACCCTAGGTTCTTCCAACGTCAACGACCTGCAGCACTGTTGAGGCGAAGTTCTTGATGAGGGTGTTCATGGCAAACAACGTCCTCACGTAGGACCTCTGGCCGTCAAAGCCCAGCGGCACTTCCGGCAGGAGCAGGCACACGCCCCAGGCCTTGGCGGCGGTGAGCAGGGCCAAGACGAGGACGCAGTAGCGCGTCCTGGTGCGCGTGGGCCGAGGCGGCCAGCCCGCCCCGCAGTGGTGGCCGCAGACGTGGAGCAGCAGCAGCAGGGCGCGCCACTGCAGCGAGCACAGCCTGGCCCAGCAGGGCCGGGGCTCCCCAGGCATCGTCCCAGAGCAGTGGGTTTTTCGGAAGGCCTGCGCAGGCGGCCGAAACCCAAGACGCGTTTTGAGCTCCAGAGTCGCTTAACAGGACTCGAACCGAACGTGTGACCCCACCAATGGATTCCTCGTTCGGAGAGCGATCCTCTGGCGGGGTCACACGATCGATTTGAGCCCCATTTAGCGACTCTGGAGCTCAAAACGCGTCCATAGCTTTAGCGGCCTGCGTCGGTCTTCTGGCCGACTGAGCAACACCTTCCGGAGACAGGGCGACTGCGCACGCGGCCACCGCACAAAGCTTGGGTCGATTCGCGTCCATCTCGTCACACAATCGACCGATCTAAAAGCGAACCTCACGAGTCGCATTGGCAAACACCCAATGGAGAGGAAAATGATGATGACCGCACTCTCATTCCAGGAACGTGACATCACGTTGAAACGAACGTGACGAAATGTCACGTTTGTTTGAGCATTGTGTCACGTTCGTTTGAATGTGAAGAGGCTGATTTTTGGCCAATTCACACCGAAACGAATGTGACACAATGCCCAAACGAGCGTGTTGTCACGTTCGTTTTTACGTGATGTCACGTTCTTGAAATGAGAGTGCGAGGAGAGAATTTTATTTTTCGAGAGTGCCGGGAGCTCGGCCGGGAGGGAGGAGCTTGGACTGTGAATAACCAAAATCTACTCTACAAATCAAAGAGTGTACATGGTACGCTCTAACTGGAGCATGCCTGCAAGCACGCTCTAACTAGCGCATGCCTGCCAGGCATGCACTAACTAGTGCATACATGCCATGTACACGCAAACTGAAGCATACATTTACTGCATAAGGGCTAGGGAGTTTTCTGCATCAGGAAGCGTGTACATGGCATGTATGCTCTAGTTAGTGCATTCTTGCCAGCAGGGCTGTTAAAGTTAATTTAACGATTAACGAAGTTAATTAACTCCGTTAAAGTTAATTAACGAATTAACGTTAACTCGTTACTTTTGTCCTAGGGTCTTAACGTTAACGAGTTAAGTTAATTTTGTGTGTTAACTTTTTAACGTCGTTCAAGTTAAAAGCATTCATCTTTTT